TTGACAGTATACTCCGGGTGATTTGCCGTGCGGTCAGTCGCGAAACGTAATTACATTATAGCTGGCGTAGCGTGTATGCAACCGATCTAACACACGGAGCTAGAGCTAGTTTTGGTCGGAAAAACATTTTTGTGATGCTACGTTGCTAGCGTTTAAATATATCAACTACAATGTCAGCAGATGGCCTTACATGTTTGTCATGGCAGGAGAATGTCTGCAGTCACACCTTTATATATACAGTCTATGAGTCACACACACGGAATACTCATACAGTATACTCCGGGTGATTTACCGTACATTGTGACAGTACATATACTGCATGTAGCTAACGAGGCTAGCTGTATGCTAGCGCAAAACAATGTATTCATGCAAGTTACATTGTATGGTAGCAGAATACTCGTATACGATTGCAATTATAAACACGTTATTGCTAGCCTAATATGAACCACTAGCTTTTGTTCATAGTAGTTTTATTACACTGCATTATAGTTGCCTTTCCTCCAAGCTAACGTTCATATCGTGTTAGCTACCAAGGTAAACAAAGCTAGGTTAGCATATTAGCAGGCAAGCTGTTCATTACACAACTACTACTAACGAATCTAAAACAACTAAGTTTCTCTATTATTTTGTGATTTGCATTTGATTTCGTCCAGCCAGATCCTGGCGGACAATCCATGACGGGGACGGGACTTCTACTACTACTACTGAGGCCTCGTGCTAAAAGGCACCGCACCGGCTGTGCGCAGGCAAGATGCGAGGAGGAGGAATGGATGATATACCGTGTATATATGTATATTTATGTTCATTTTGTACATTTCTAAAAATAAAGTTTAATGGAAATACTTAGTAGGCCTATCCTTTCTTCCCTGAATTCATATATAGCAAACCATGATTTGATTTCTCATCAAACAGTAGTAGTTTATAACGGGTAAAAATAACTTACTCTTTGTTATGAGCGTAGGCCACAACGGAAAGACAAGGAGACATACACGAGTTTACAAAACCACGGCACATTTATTGTGGTAAATGCAGAGATAGGTGGTTGAGAGGATCGCAGAGTTAGTCTTCCTGCAGCCGCTTTGGAGAGAGACGGGCCGTCGTGTGACTCCGGGCAGCTGGGCTTAATAGCACCTCGGCTCCGGAGGTGTCCGTGATCGTGCTGATTAGCCTCTTCAGCTCCACCCCATCGTAAGACAAAGGCCCTGGGGCCGTCACACTCTTCTATAACAACAGTTAAAAATATATATGTATATAAAATATACGGCTGTACCGACGCCATGATAAGACTGATGTTACGCTGAGAGCAGCCGGGAAAAGCACTGTTAGACATGGGCGCAGCCTCTCTGGTGGTTGACCAATCGGAGCACACTAGGCTCACAGGGAGGGGGGGGCAAGAGCTCCAACGAGTCGTTTAGTGGAGAAAGTGAATACTGCTGAATACACATGCTTGAGAGAGATGCTGTATGCGAAACCAATGTGAGTTTGGAAAATTGCACAGTATAAATCTATTTTAGTATACCTCAACAATGTAATTATGATCAGTGGAAATGGCCATGACATGGGCCCTTTAACTTGCACTTTTCCTCCTTTTTTTTTCTTGAGACAGTTAATGCATGCACCAAGGCACGATATAGCTTGTTTCTGTGCACGTGAGAAGAATGTGAACTTACATTTGCCACTCCTGAGAGAGGCTCTAGCCTGGTTCCTGATGTTAATACCATGTGACTTGTTCGGGGCATTGCGCCTAAGGGAGGGTTCTGCAGGTTGAGGCTGGGTTTGCAGCGTGCCACAAAGCAGTAAATATTAAAGTCCCAGTACTCTTAAAAAGCCTCAAACAAATCCAACCTCTCCAGCGAACTGCAGGTTTATTAAAAATTGAAAATGTACTTCCTGTTTTACTTTTTTATTTTCAGTCTTCATCCCCACACTGCACTTATCATCCAAAATAAAATACACATATTTAGATTAGTAAAGACTTCCTGGTCAGGAGAGGGCACTATTTCCTCATTTAAATGTGTGTATTTGAACTCCTTCAGGGACTTTGGATGACTTAACACACAGGCAAATTCACATCTGCAATTCACCATATTGTACAGTAGTATTGCTGAGTACGCCATGGCTGTGTTGCAGCGAACAAATCTTGAAATAAAATCAATATCTGTGTTTGAGCCCAGAGCTCTGCAGCCGTTTTTTCCTTATTGGATCAAGTGTGGCTTTCTGCTGGTGGTGAGGATGGGAACAGGCTAAGTGCAGATAAAAATAGCTGTGTGCCCTTAAGCCTGCAGCAAAACAGTGGTCTCTCCTGCTTGATGCTAAAAGATTCTGATGCATGCTTTCTAACAGGCTCCACTTTAATTACCCATGCAGGTTACACAGGAAAACAATTTGCCTCAGTCAGTGCTGCTTATTTAGCTTTGTCACACATGATCACACCTGTTATGCTGTTGTGTTTTTCCCTGCTATGGTTCCTTGCACAACAATTAATCATCCCGTGGTGGTGTTTTTGTTTGTGTAGAGGACTGCCTCTTGCGTCAGGATGACATTTGGATGCTGGATGGCGACGACCCTCAGGAGCCTCTTTCCCGCGTTCCACGCCCTGATCACCTCGACTTCCTACGCATCACACCGCCTGAAGATGACATCCTGGGGGACACACCCTACTGTCCCAAGCTGGAGTGCACGGTGAGGGCACTATATTAGCACAAATAATAACAGATCAATTCGAGCTGTAATGTGTATTTTCAAACTCGAATCAGTGTACCATATAACTTTTTTTTTCGTATTTCTTTCTCTCGTGGGACTCATAGCGATTTCTCTCCACTCGGGCATTTAACCACCTGATCATACATTCTTAGGAATGGATTAACCGGTCATGGATTTTAATCTGTAGACTGGGGTCTTAAGCCAAAATGTAGTGAGATCACTCTACTCAAACCTCTTTTAACCAGAGCAAAGACAGGAAAATCTCTCCTTCTCTTGTGGCATTTTCCGAACATTTTACAGCCTTATTTTTGAAAGGTTTAGGCTATTAGGAGTAATTAGTGTGATTTCTCTTTTGTTATTGAGCAGAAGTTACAACACAGGATATGTTACTTACCACGGAGCATGTGATGTAATCCTGCTGTACAGTAGCCTGCAGCAAACTATGTGTCCAGACGTTTGTAGGCTGTAATTATGCTAATATAGGGTACCATTTGAGAGCTACCAAACTGCACTTCTAAGTCATGTGATCGAATGATGCAAAACGATTTCCATTTGAAGTCTTTCCCAATTCCATCACGTTGTCTGGCTAAGGCATTCATTCCTGTGGCAGATGAGGCAGATTACCTGGGTGTGGTGTTAGGCGGGGAGTGTAACAATGCAAGCCACGCATTGTTTTCAAAAGACTAAGTTGCTGCCCTGGCTGTGAGAATAATGAGGTATCATACCAGAACAAAGGCCCTGCTGTACAGGAATAGACACTCTGTATTGTGTTGGAAGTTATAAACATACACGTACTTCAGAGTTCTTTGTCACTGGAATCCATTTGCGTGTCGTTAGAAAGACACACTCCTCACATGATTTCTTCTCAGTGTATTGTACACACACAGGGAGGGTTGTGGCAATGACACAATCCAATTATGTGGGTTGACATAATAGTTTTTTAGACATGTAGTGTCAGGATGATCTGCGACTTGTATATGAATATGTTTACTTCATTCCTGAGCATATGTGCGTTAGATATGTGTTCGCAGTTTCTTCAATCAGTGGTGCCTCTTTCTAGTACGGGGGGGGATTTACTGTGTGTGTATGAAATAAAACTGCTCTTACATAACTTAATTCCTCGGCCACAAAATTCCCCTCCTTTTTAATTGTAGTTTTGTTCAGATTGGGGGGGGATTAAACACCAATCCCAAGCAAATGCAATTAATCTTTATTGTTTTCACTTCTTTTTTTATTGCTAAGACATTTCCAACGTTAAATTATTACGGTGACAAATAATTACTCAATCACCCAGGATAGATTTCAGCATTCATGCAGTTCTTTTGCTTGGTTTATTACATCCATTTGGACCATATTGAGTTTAAAAAAATAACAAAATGTGATTTCCAGTTGTCTTCTTGAAGCATCATGTAGCATCATAGATAGCTAATTATTGTTATATATTGGTCCTTTGTCAGGGGCGTTGATAGTATTTGAAAATGTTACTTTAATTTTATGCCATTCATAAAACCAGTTTTCAAAATATTTGAAACCAGCCTTTAGAAATGTGCCCTGCTCGGGCAGTCTGAAGGAATGCATTCACAGAGGGTGACCTTTGGTGTCTAAGGGCATTCTGTTTTCCTAACCACTTTCATGACAATATTATTTTAAAAGGTATATAAGGTTAGAGCAAGTTAAATCAAGGTTAAGCAATAACATTCCCAAGTTGTTTCATTCATTTGTATTTTCTTAAGTTGTTAGCCTTTCTCACACAGATTCCTTGTTAGCTTGTAAGTTATAGCAACGGTGAGCTAGCAAACTTTAAAAACGTTTTTTTATGTAGCATACAGTGTTGTAAAAACTAAATTCCCAGTTTGAAGCAAAACTGACATTGTTTAGTGTATAGATACTCAAGGTAAGTGATGCAAAATGTCATTTTCTTCCTATCTATCCTGTCTGTGTGTTCAAGAGCTGCTAATCACACACATTTCCTTCATAGCATATTAGCTAGAGCAGGCTATGGCCAGGCTGACTAATCACCACGTCTTAAGCCTCATATTGCAGTAGCTCACCACTTAATGGTGCAATTCAGGGCTAATGGACCTCAGCAGCTCTCTACCTGACCACAGACCAGCTCCCCCTCTGTGTTTACTCTGTTACCTCGGTAGCCATTTTACGGAAGTGAGCAGAGGTAATTAGACACCTGTGGTGCAGGCTCTGCAGGTCTCCTCCCAAGGAGGGAGGAACCTGAAGGGAGGCGTCCCCAGACTGGGTAGACCAGTGAGACGCATTTTTTTCACAACCTGAGAGCCTTTTTTTCTAGCACACAGGCTTTCCTGTACACTGAGAGGCAAGTACAGGCAAACTAAAGGGACAGTTCAGTCATAGACTTCAGACTGAGACGGTTTACCGGCGCATAGAGAAAGATAATCTACAACTTTATGGATACTACTGCTCAACTTGTCGGAGCAGTCGGGAATGCTTGTGTGAAAGGCAGGTGAACTCTGCTCTCCCAGGGAGATTACAGCAGGACTTCCAGCCACTGAACAGCTTGAATTCACTTGCAGCGTCATGGGAATCTTGCTGGCACAGAGGAGCCGGCACTGTACTACTCACAACATAGTAGTAGCAGACTTTATGTTATGATAGTATACTTTGTAGAACTGGTTTGCAATTCAATAAACAGGAATACAGGATAGTGTTGTTACACTTGGCGGGCTCCTGGAGAAGGTAAGAGGAGCTGGCGAGATTTGTCCGCACAAAGGCCTTTTGTCCCCAGCCAGCAGCAGTGGTGGACTAGCAGCAGCTTGGATAGCTGGATATGGGGACATCTTTATTGGAAACCTTTTGCCAGAGTTGCCACCTGTTTGGGTTTGCCTCTCTTTCCTCTCAGTTTGTCTGACACTTTGAGCAAAAATGGAAAATGCAAGTAATAAGTCAGATGGAGCGGGGAAGCAGAGCTCCGGTTTGCTCATGAATGTGTTCAGCAGTTTCTTTGGCCAAGAAAGACCTGCTTCGGAGTCGCCCGTGCTGACATCTTTCAAGGAGCTGTCAGATGAGAATAACCCTCTTCCTGAAGGCGGTCAAACTACTTACAGTAAGAACAAGCTCCAAGAGAGAGAAGATATGCATCAAGATAATGTGACTGCTTCCTCTGGTACAGGGCAAAGTGCTGAGTCATTGGAAAACAGCAAGGAGTCTGGCGACAAAGTTAAAACGGCATCAGTGGCTCCAGTTGACCTGGATCTGGTCCAGGTCACTATGGTGGAAACATATAGTGACAATGAGGAAAATGAGGATGAGGAGGCAGCCTGCAGCAGCCGTAGTAAATCGGAGAAGCCTGCCATGACGAAGGAGTCTACCCCACCTGAGGAGGATAATAACAAAGTGGAGCATAATGATGAGGATCCCGCTGAGGCTGAGGCAGAGTACCAAATGCCTGTGTTTAGAACACACGGATTAAGGGGAAGATCCCGCATAGAAGCTATGCTTTTTCCAGACAGGTACCCCAGCGGAAAGGACTCTGGGACAGTTCCTGTTTCCAAACAAGAAGAAGGCTCTATGAGTCCCAAAGAGAGCAGAACCACAGTGTCTTCGGACGTAGAAAAACCAGATGCTGGAGATAAAAGTAGAGACAGCGTGGGTGCAGAAGAGGATAAAGAGTTTGTCGCCGTAGATTGTTCTCTTCCTGTTCCTGCCATCATTGCCGGAAGCCCAGTTTTGGAGGCCCCAGGTGATGATGCTGCCACAGCCTCTCCTTTAAAAGAGGACTCTATTTCACAGGAGGAGAAGACCGGTGACAAAATGGCTAAGGCTGAGGAGGAGACTAAGAAAGAACCTCACTCAAGCAAGGTGTCTCTCTCGGTTTCCTCGATCCCTAAGGCTTCTGAAGTCTTAGTTCAATCCTCCTCCAGTTTAAAGGAGCAGTCAGAAGCTGCTGGTGAAAAAACTAAAAAACGTTCCTTGTCATCCACACCTGAAAAGTCCACAGTTGTCATCCAGCCAAGGGCCAGTCCTGCCTCACAGCGCACAACTGCTCCAAAAACCCCAGAAGCAAAAAAAACACCACCTCCAGCTTCATCTACCCCATCCTCCTCCCCATCAAGGGGCACAGCACTGTCTTCGCCCCCTTCCTTCCAGATGCCGGCTCTCTTCAGTGGGCTGCGGGTGCTGAAGAAAGGAGCGGTGGGGGAGGACAGGGAGTCGGTGTCAGAGATCAAGCAGAGCGAGAAGGATGCTGACCTGGCCCTGCTCAGCCTGAAGAAGACGGTAAACAAAGCCAAGCTGTTCCCCGAGCAGAAGACCCCCTCTCCAGCCAGAAAACATGCAGAGCCTAAACCAGTTTTGGACACGAAAAGTACTGTGATGGGACAGCTCAGCCACCTGCTCAACAGAGACAGCCGCGAAGAGACCAAAAAGCCAGATGTGCAGCAGGATGCTAATCCAGAACGCGGCAGAAAGGAGTCTGAGAATGGAGAAGAGGTTGTGGGGGAGACGGTTTTAAGCCCAGAAACACCCACCTCTACACCAGAGAAAAAGAAAACCTCAGACCTGGCCTACGAAACCTTTAGGAACATCTTCGGCCCCAAAGGTGTCAAAAAGGACAAAGCTGACGACGTCGATCTGGATGCAGTGAGAAAGAAAATCAAAAATGACAAAGAAAATCTGAGGTCGATTTTTGAGAGGGCATCCAAATCCCCTGGCAAGGAACTCGGCAGTCCCACAGAGGCTATTGTATGAAACACAATATTTGTCATCTTTCTTGGTGTTTCTGCAAAGATGGGGGAAACTGATGAGACAAATTGGTCCTTTGTCATTGCATTGCCAAGTGTCAACGCTGACATGTTTTTTTTTCTCCCCACAGGCGGAGGTCACGTCCCCTACAGACAGCGAGGACCGAACACCAGGGCGTCTTCAGGCTGTGTGGCCCCCACCCAAAACTAAAGATGAGGAAGAGAAGGTGGGCCTCAAATACACCGAGGCAGGTAAGAACTGCAACCGTTGTCTGTCTTCACATCTAAAAACCCGGACGCTGATAGAGACATCTCACCAGTCAAGTATTTTTAAATGACAAACATTCAATCAGATCATTATGAGCACTGAAAGAAAAGTAGAGCCACCACTATCACACCTTTTGAGCACTCATACTTTGAGATAAGTCATGCAGTGCTGGCTAAGTATCATGAGCAAGGTGTAATGCATCCTTTAAATCCATTTAAGAACACATTGAGGCTGCATCTGTGTTGCTGTGTGTGTGTGTGTGTGTGTGTGTGTGTGTGTGTGTGTGTGTGTGTGTGTGTGTGTGTGTGTGTGTGTGTGTGTGTGTGTGTGTGTGTGTGTGTGTGTGTGTGTGTGTGTGTGTGTGTGTGTGTGTGTGTGTGTGTGTGTGTGTGTGTGTGTGTGTGTGTGTGTGTGTGTGTGTGTGTGTGTGTGTGTGTGTGTGTGTGTGTGTGTGTGTGTGTGTGTGTGTGTGTGTGTGTGTGTGTGTACAATTGAATAGAATTCAGTTTACTCTGGGCAGCACGCCATGTGTTGTACTTTAAAGGTGTTATGTCACACAGACTGGATAAAAACACACACTGCTGTGGATGGGCTGATTCAATTACAAAGGAACACGCTTTTCTTTCATGTTCAGAGTAGAGTGAAATTGTGTTGTCTGAAAGCGTACAGCGCGTTGAATCGGCAGTGAAACAGCTGTTGGGTGGCCTGTGTGGTGCTGCTTCATCTCTGAGAATAGATTAGGACCAGTAAGTGTGGATTATTCTGGTGATTGGTGCTCCAGGATCAGGCTTTCCTCTTGTATAAGAGAATAATGTGAGAAACCTCCGAGGCAGAGCAAAAGTCCACACTGTGATCCATATACTGTAGATAAACCAAAACCTGCGCTCATTCATACCATATGCATTTCTTTCAAACACAAGTACTGCTTAAATGGCGTAAATAATTGACTTTCAGGTGGAACTACAGTAGTTTTAATAGAGTTTTAACACCAGCCTGATTATAATCATTGACTCGGATTAATCATTGCTGCAATAAAATGTAACTCGTTGCTTGCAGGTCAATGCTAAAAAGTCCCAAACAGGATCATCTTCCTCAATTGTATAAAGGAATAAAGACTCACAAATGTAAATAAATGGCCCTAAACTCAACAGTCTGGTCCTTAAATGAAGAAAAGACACAGTGGTGTAGATTAAGATGGGACAAGTTGTTATAACTAACTTTTCAGGACCAGTATTCCTAAACTCAAAATAGTTTCCTTTTATGTACTGACTTAGTTGTTCTCTATGGTTGTCAAATACTGCTGTCCCATAATGGACTGGAGATGAATCATGTAGTGGGTGATCTTTCCACTTTTGTGCCGTCATCTTATTAGAAGCAACAGCTCTGTATTTTTGATGTGACCTTACAAAATGTTTTGGTTGAGCTTTAATTTGGGCCAGCAGTATCATTTAAAACAGGTTGGTTGACCTTTTTATAGGTAAGGAATGTTCCACCCTTCTGTAGAATCTTAACACTAACATCAGCACATCTTGTTAGTATGTCTTTGTCAGATTAGCTTGATAATGATTTAACATACCAACTGTGTAGCCAGTAGCTCAAGATAACACAACTCTAACCCAATTATCTCAACCTATTGGCAAATGAATAAACAACGCAGACAATGAGCCGGGATGACACTCCAGTCTACTGTATATGTTATACATCTAAACGCCCAGCTGAGTCATGTCATTAAACATGTGTCTTTGTTCTGCTTCCTCTCAGAGCACCAGGCTGCCCTCTTGCAGCTGAAGAGAGAGTGCAAGGAAGATCTGGAGAGGATGCATGTAAGTTATCATTCAACGTGAGCAGAAATGTCAACACACTGACTGAAAACACATTACACTCCGGAGAAAATGAGATGATGCATTTCTGTGTGAGCAGACTAGTTTACTAGAACATTTAAGGGAATACGTTTGAAAAATAATAAACAGGGGAAATAAAGTACAGCAATATATTTGTGACAATCATCTATGCACAGTATAGGTGGGACAATAACGGCACATTTAAAATAATAAACCACTAATTATGTTGGAATATGTAGTCTGATATAGCAGTAGACTCTCCTGAACACAAGATGGCAGTACGTGAGCATGAAATGATCCCGTGCAGCAGGACCAGTGCAACACTACTGCTGAATATTCACTTACAGCAGTAGAAGCTTTTGCCACAGGTCTTGAAGTTGCCCAGTATTGTGTATAATATTTGAATAACCTGTCTGTCCAGTTTTAGTTAATTCATTATTTAATGTTTTATGTTTAAAAGATGTGTACAGCATATTACCCGGGGAAACAGTTTACATAGGTAAAAATATATCAAACTTAAATCAGATTAAAATTACTGTTCAGTGTATTTTGTAGTGTTACTTCCTAATATATGGAATTAAGTTGCAAGCTTACAGTAATTATAGGAAACCCAGAATGGATAATATGTATGATACAGAATAAAATAAATTACAGGTTGAGATTACATTTTTTTAGCTTAGATGGTTGCAATTTTAAATGTTGATCTATTTGTAATTTTAAGCCTTTTTTTTATTCTGTGGTTAACTTGGCATTTATGTATTTTTATATTATTTTTTTCTAGTCTTTTTTAACATGTAGGAGACTCTTTAGTGTTGAACTCAAAATTGTAAAAACTAAGTATATATATATAAAAATATTTAAAAAAAAATTAAGACCAGAGTATAAGCATTTAGTGAATACACATTTAAAACATAAAACGCCTAATGTCTTTATGTCTTGAGTTCCAACAAAGAGTAAAACGGAAGTTCATTTTTTAAGTGACATAATATATAAAAACGAAGGCTCTTAAAACAATAACAAGAGACTAGAATTTCATATTTTAGGTAACGTATAATAATATAACTTCTAAATGTCTTCCAATAGAGTTCTGTGATGGAGATCCCTTTTGACTCCATTATGAAGGCTCATTCCAAATCCAATTAGGCTGTGTCTGTTTCATTCATCAAAAGCAGGGATAGGGAACAGTGCTTCATAGATGTTCTTCTTTCATCCGTCAAATTAATCAATAGTCAATCTTATTGTGTACACTTGGAAAAATAGGAGCGCATAGTTGTGGCCATATTACATAGTTTGTTCCACTGATAAATTGCTTTATGGACTGTTTTTCTTGACAAGTCTGACCTCAGAATTAATCTGTTTAAAACCTTTCATTTAACGTCAACCTTTTTAAACAACTTATGCTGACACTGAGGCACATGTACCGCAGACAGCCCACAAGATTAATTGCAAAACTATTTCCTTTTATGTATCAAATTTAATATTTTTCCTTGATGCAACAGTTTTCTCATTATTTAAAATGTCAGATAAAAACCAAAGCAGATTTTTTACTTTAAGAGTCAAATACTAGTCTCCTTGGGAAATAATTCAATAGAAAAAAAAAGTTGAGAACAAACCTGGAAGAGAACTACAAATATTTGTATTTTTCAACTTCAAGAATCACAGTCATGTAAAAACATTTTGATGAATAATCAAACACTTTAACCCAAATTCAAGCAAGGAAACGTGTTGCTAGTTTCTCAAAATGGTCTTGGGATATTATGTGATGAAAAGTAATAGAAGTTTCTGTTTTTGTTTTGTCTCCGTCACTCCACTCTTGTTCCTTACAGTCCGACTTTGAGCTCAAAATGTTCCAACTGCGAGGAGAGCATGCTGTCTCCATGTCACAGCTGGAACTAGAGATCTCTAAGATGCAGAGAGACCGGGGGTACAGTGCAGGTCATTTGAGGGGGGAGGTCCGGGACGCTGCGACGTCCACCACAGATGACCTCATATCCAAGACCTACCGCACCGTCAGCATCCAGACGGACAGGGAGAGCTTCATCAGGAGCCCCGAGGGGGAGGGGGGCGTTCAGAGCCCCAACCAGAATGTGCCAAAGAAACTCAACCTTGACTCCATGGGTCTGAATCAAAAACCTGAAGCAGCCCCAGGGCCTTCTGGAGCACCCCCGCCCCCGCCACCTCCTCCCCCTCTCCCACCAGGCCTCTCAGGACCACCACCACCTCCTCCTCCTCCTCCCCCTTTACCAGGCACCACTGGGGCACCGCCACCACCCCCTCCACCACCTCCGCTCCCTGGAGGTGGTCCGCCGCCGCCACCCCCTCCCCCTCCTGGCCTACCTGGTTTTGGCCCCCCACCACCTCCTCCTCCCCCTCCCGGCCTACCTGGTTTTGGCCCACCACCACCTCCCCCTCCCCCTCCTGGCCTACCTGGTTTTGGCCCACCTCCTCCTCCACCTCCACCAGGCGGAGGCCCGCCGCCTCCTCCCCCTATGGGGGGCTTCAGTTTTGTCCCGAAGGTGGAGAAGGCCCCAAGGAAAGTTGCAGTGGAGCCAGCCTGTCCCATGAAGCCCCTGTACTGGACCAGGATACAGATACAGGACAATAAGTATGTGGAACATCGCTTTAAATCTCTCATTTCATCTTGAAAGGATAATTGCACTTGATTGCAACTTTGTTCTTATTTTCAGTGATTTGTCCATCATTGCTGCTCGTAATAAAAACTGTTATACTCAGCAAGTAAATTGCAGAGAAAGTGGCAGTATTGCTATGGAGAAGTCCAACTGGGCAGGATACACAAGCAGTCAGGTGACCATACTGGTGCTAAACACCAAATTAGCCAAATGTATTTGAAAGAGAGCACAGTAAAAAGGTATATTTATTGCCCAAACTGTCCATTGTTAACATCCAACACAATTTATAGACTGACCCCCTGCTTCAACTTTGACCTACCATACTTAACATAATTGTGAACACACAATTCTTCTGTGCAGCGAGGGATAATTGTCGACATTTTGTTGGGGGCCAAATTAACCGAAGAAATAAGTGGTTTAGATACTTAACTTTTGACTTGTTTACAGCCTCTCTTATTGTTTGACAACTAATTTCTTTCATTATTGGACATCAATGTAGAATGTTGCCATGTTTTAGGATATCAGAAATGACTTTTGTGGGGGCCAAAACCACAAAAATGAGACCCAAATCATAATTAACTGGAGTTATCCTTTGGAATTTCAAAAAAACATAGAGTTGCTTTTCACACTTGCATTTATTTCTGATATAAACCCAAGGCTAGAAAAAGCTAGGATTAGTATAAGCTCAAATCACATTTGTATTTGTTATTAATTACCGTAACAACTGAATAACCTTACTCCTCAGTGATTTATTTGGTGGATTTCTGCAGGATGTCATCAATATGACATCTTAATGGGGTCTTAGTTTAGCTTTGTTCAGAGAGATATCAAAGATATGCCGTGTGCACCGTGCTCCGTCGTCTTCTGGCACTGTTGAGACACTCTGTAATTGTAAGTGGATTATCCAGCCCATTTACAGTGGCTGTGGTTGTTGCCTCCGAGTGCCAGGCTTCCAGCTTTATGGCCTTGTATTTCCATGGCTGGATTAGCGGGGGGAAACTGAGTTGTGGTTCGCACTCTCTCTTTCTCTCGGGTCCTGGCCAGCGCTGCCTGGAGGACTGCCTGACTAGTACAGCAGTTTCACGTCAGCTATAAATTTAACTGTAAAGGGCCAAGTTAAGGGGCATTAAATGGGTCAGATGTTTAACTATAGCTGGATCAGCTGTGTGATCTCTGTTAATGGTGTGAGGTTTCCGAGTTATGAGGGAGGGAACAGTATGCCAGGTGTCTGAATGTGAGCCCGAACATCAAGTATGGTTGGCAGAATGCGGGGCAAACTTTCTTGGGAAATAAAGAAATGGGAACTTTAAGATAGGATTCAAACTCAATAACTGTCGTAATCCGGTCAATTAGAAAGTGGTCCTGTGTGGAAATATTTTTGGGGTTTTGGATGTTGTTTTCTTTTCCAAGATGGTTTCCTGCACAGTTGGGAGTCGTCTTATTTTCCCCAGTCTATCGGAAAGGAGTACAAAATCAAAGCGTTTTCAGGACAGAATCATTATGTCTTCAACAGAAAAACTTCTTGGCCGCCTCTTACTAAGCAATACGAGGCCAACAGCATGCAGAAACAATTGGACTTACACGGCCCTAATTGAGTCACTGGCAATGCAGTTGATTGTTCTGTTATTTAAGCCACGATAAGCCTGCAAGCTCTTGTGTTAGTGTGCTGTGTCCAGGATCTCTTTTCATTGTAACTGGGCCTTGATTTGGGGGAAATGACCTGCCAATCTCATGACCTCACATATGAGATGTAATGTCATTAAACAATGAGCCTGCGACGTGTTAAACAATAGGAAACCAGTATTTAGGCATGTGCAGCGTATTAAGAATGTCGTCATTCCAAAATCTGTTGTTTGAATACGTTTATTTGTTGGTAAGCATTTTATTAATAGACTTAGTAAAGTAAAGCAGACACAGATGGCATTGTTACAGCAACAGAGTGCTTAAATCCTGAACATCCTCTTGACTTTAGACACCTCTTGATCTTATTTCTGCCTCTGTTTGTTTTTTCCACGTTACTCAGCAACTTCTGAAACACAACATTGTCTCCCGTATTTGAGTCCATTTCCCGGGAATGGCCCCATATTACAGAAACAAGCACGTCTGAAACTTTTGTTATTTTTATCACCTCGCTCATAAACAGTGCTTTTTAAAGTTGAGATTGCAGTCCTTCCTGCCAAGTTTTTGCGGGACAGCGAAATGGAAAATGAAAAGCAGTGGGCAGGTTGAATAAACACACTTCCACAAATAGAACACACAATTTGTTTAGCTCAAATAAAGCCTGGACTGTGAGCCACTGTCATAGGGAGTTTTAGTTTTGATGCATACATTTATGTAAAAAGCATAAAATAAATCACATATTAAAATATTGCCTTTATTTCCCAGCAACAACACACTGTGGGGTTCTCTGGAGGAACCAAATCTCGACGCCATTGAGTTTGAGGAGCTTTTCTCCAAAGCCACGCTGCAGCCAAAGAAGAAACCCCTGTCGGACACCTTTGAGAAGAAAGCCAAAACTAAGAAGGTAGATTTACTTCCTCCTAATATTGGTTTTGTAAAGCCAAATGACCGGCTTTTTCTTGTTGCTTTTGATGGTTATCTTGTGCACTTTGTCTCTCGCTACAGCAACCTGGAGGCATTATTGGTGTTCTTTCTTTTCAAGCTTTGTTTAAAAAAGACTTTCTGTATGCTTTCATGTTCAATAATAAATCAAAGAAAGGAATAACAAAGGGTTGAACCGGGGAAGAAATGGATTGGGACTCTCATCAGGGTCTCCTCCAGGCTGTTGTGTGCAGTTGCCAGGTCTTGCACGGGGCCAACACCAGCTATCAGTTTATGGGTTCACTCCCTTGTTTTTGTCTGTACAAGCCAAGCTCACTGTGCACGATCGAATGAAAGCAGGGCTTTAGAATCATGTCGTTTTGTTCCATCTGTGCAAACTTCAAAATCAAGTTTTTAAAGGTCTCCTATTATACTATTTTTAGGCATGTAGTTTAGGTCTCAGATATGTACAAATATATAAAAGAACATGTCTATGAAGTGTTTTGCTCAAAATACCAAACAGATCACCCATTCCCCATATCCCTCTATTTCAGCCCTCTTAGAGAAGTGCTGATTCTGGGTCCTTAGCCTTTTTTCTTTTTTTTTAAGGTGGGGGGGGGGGGGAGGGAGGGAGAGCTAATGCCTGCTTAGAATTCTACCGGCAGAAACTCAGCTAAATGCTGCCGTGATGAAACGCCATATCATTTTCAAAACCACATCAAGGATTATTTCTGAAACAGTATGGAGCTCAAATTTTCTCCAGACCATATTACCTCCAAAACGTTGCGCATTGTTTCTGATAGCGACGTTTCTGATAGGGTGTAAAGCCACATTTCCGATATTACGTAATATCGGCAGCAAATCTGGATCAGCTCCGTTGTTGGGTTTTATTTTCGGACACTTTGTGAGTTCCCTGACACACCGGGGACGCATATCTATGTATAAAAGACATCAAAAAGTGCATTTTGCATGATAGGAGACCTTTTTAAAGATGAAACGAAAGCGAAGGTGTGCCAGATTGATCTACCGCCCCCCACCCCCCCCCCCCCCTACTTGTTGATGTCTTGTCAAATGTTGCAACGCTGCACTTCTGCTGCAGCCAGCGCCGCGTCAGCACCTGGGCCGCCTTGTGGTCCTCACTGTGGCGTCCAAGCAGTTAGAAATCGGCCACTGCCCCAGACTCTCCCCCTTTAAATCCATACACATCCCCCTATTCTGATCAATTTGTCAAGGCTCCACTGCACTCCAGAGGGCCTAAATGTGTGTGTGTGTGTGTGTGTGTGTGTGCTCGTGTGTGTGTTCTTCTGTCCTCCTTCTCTCCGTTCAGTCTGGTCACTCTAAAGCGGCAAACTGTCCAACATTTGATCCAACTCAGACAGCCACATCTAGACACAAATCTAGCCAACTGTCTCCTGCCTGGGCTTACATCAGCCTGGAAGAGGATTGACCCCACTAATGGAAACACTGCTGAGACTATTTCATATCAATCTTTGAAAAAAATCTCCTGGACAACATAGCTTTGTTTTTATTATTGACTAAAAGGACATGTAAGGTCTGTAGTTTTGATATCACTGGCTGTGGTTGATATCCATGTTTAGACATTTTGTCCCCAGCCCTGTGATTAGACAGGATCCTTAGATTTAATATAAAGGTCTGTGTTTAGAGCCACGAGAGCATTCACAGTCCAACTCTACGATTAAAGAGGGGAAGTAAATACCTAAAGACATGGTTGTTTTTACCAGTCCAAGTTGCTGGAAAGGTCAAAAAGACTTGTTTACTCAATCATTTTTTATCCTTTTGAAAGTTTATACTGAGTTAAAGGGAGAGAAATCATCTGAATCATCAGTTGATGATGGCTTCCAAGAAGTTCAGCTGGTTAACGGCTGCAAAAGAAAGGAATGGAAATATAGAACGAAAAGAAACAGATATATTGGAGGAAAGGATGAGAGCAGGGTTAGAGATTAGGTGCTACTGAGTCAAGGAGAAATGGACCATCAAGATCGACTGAATGTGTTTTAAATTTAACATTTTCAGCTATTGTGCAATCATTTTTTATATCATTTTGGCTCTACTTCTTTCTGATTTGAGGGCTTACAAATGTTGTAATTTGATTTTAAGTTATTTCTCAATAGACCAATTCTTTATTTGATCTAGAACAGTGGTTCTCAAATGGTGGGTCGCGACCCAAAAGTGGGTCGCGGACCCGTTTCGATAGGGTCACAGATGTGAGTGAAGAAAAAAAAATTGAAAAAGAAAATTCTTTGTTGGACTGGAAGTACCGACCATAAACGGTTTTGAAAACTTCTGTCACGTAGTGATCATCTTCTCAATAAAACATCTTTGCTGATGTTTTTTCGAGTCTTCTGGCCAATCAGAATCAAGATTGTTTCCGGAAGTCCCCACGGAGAATAACTTTGCGGTAGAACTATTCTTTATACATCCATGGGTACAACTTCAGATAAAAATGAACACATAATGAGATATGACCCCCGGTTTGATGATTGACAGGTCACAGAACAATGGGAGCGATCTACCCTTACCCACAATTGAAAGTAATTCACACAGACTATTTCCTCTTTACTCTTCTCTCTGTGTGGAGCAGCAAGTTCAGCTGTCAGAACAAAGTGAAAAACAAACAATGGCATAAAATATTATTAATATGTCGGGTAGTAATATATTTATTTATTTTCATCTCGGAGTGTACCAGAATGCGTAGTTTATATGTTAGTATTTCTAAAAATCTCCTGGGGGCAGCATATGTGCCTTTTTATGTTATACAGTTCAGCTTTGATTCCATCATCTCATTAAACCTTATTTAAAAGCATTCTTCAGTTCTGTGAAGGGATATATGCACTGTACTTCACTTTAATAATGTATGCTGAAAAGCGTATATATTGCAGCCCAATTTTTTGTTGAATAGATTTGAGTGGTTAAAAATTTCGGGTCGCGATTGATTGACAAAGGAAAAAGTGGGTCCCAAGGCCTGACCAGTTGAGAACGACTGATCTAGAAGATGCAAAATTGCATACCGCAACTGCCCAAAGCTGGGCCCATGGTGACATCTTGAAATGTCTAACATTTTTCAATGTCCTATCATTAGGATTATAAACTAGGCTGCATCATTTTCAGAATCTGACCACAGTGTTTTCTGCATGTATTTTGTAAATTGTGTAACTTGCTGCTGTTAAATACCAACCACCTATGTGCAATATGTGCTAGATGTGCAATATATATAGATTCCGTTAATAACTGTGTAATGTATACCTGGCTGCTAAATCCTAAGAACTGTTACAGGATGTGTATCTTTTTTTAATTATGTCATTTTTTATTATATATATTTTTTTTATTATATCATAACTTAGTACTTTTTTTTTTAAATGCATGTCACATATTTAACATATGTAACATTAAGCTGTCTGGCTCTTTTTCCTGCTGTAACTACGCAAATTTCCCCTCTGTGGGACTAATAAAGGTATTCTGATTCTGATGTCTGCCAATACCGCTGGACACGGTGGGAGACCTGCCTCTTGTTATAATGTTGGCATTGAATCTGTGTTGGTATTTGCGTGTGTTCAATGACCTTGTTTGTTTGTTTCTCCTTGTGTTTGTGTATGCACCGGCATGTGTACGTTTCGGTGTTTCGTGCGTTCGTGTGCTTGAACGCACGTGTGTGATGACGGCACGTCCTCCTCGCGAGTCATTATGCACTTGCTCAGAAAGTGTTGCCAGATCATGCTAACACCACGGCCTGGGGCAGTGTGTGCGGCGAGAGGAGATGAGTGGGAGGGAATGGAATGTGTGTGTACATTATGCATATGAGCCACTTCCCCACTTTCCAACATCTCCACACTCCGCAAAAAGTTGAAACTTGGGGGATGCAGACGATGCCTACATGAGTGAGATAATCTTTATCATGTGTGCCACAGAGAAATCAAAGCTCTTGTTTACTCTGGAGCCCTTCTCTCGCTGCTGATTAGCATATCAAAGCAGAGGAGATGACATGGAAGACAGCTCTCCCGCCCGAGCAGACCGGACTGGACTGGACTCTGGTGTAATTGCAGGCATGTGGCTCCGCTCCACTGGCGAGAGGAGGCAATGAAGACGGGGCACCTATAGGAGTGGTGGTGGGGGGGGGCTGGGGAGGATGGGCATGTCGGTGCATACTTGATTGAGGGATTAGAAGGGAGGCAGAGATGAGGAAATGAATCGAGCTAAAGTTTGTACGTGAGCAAATATGAACAAAAAACAGTAATTTCCCCTAAGCACATAAATCAAACCTGTATCAAGTTTAAACATAGCGGATCTCCTTAAACAAACATCAGCTTTAACTGGTTTATGGGGATGACTTATGAGCAATCATGGTGCGTTTATTAAAGACATATTTGAAGCTGTGGCTGTGACGTAGGAGAGTGGGTGTAAGATTAACACGACCGGGGTTGCGGAGTGTATCGGAGGTGGTTATGGATGTGAAGTCTTGATCCAGTTGTTATTGTAACATCTGCCTGGGTGATTCCAGACAGATAGTCAGACAGACAGTCACCACGGAGCATGCTGGCTGCTCATCCGTGGTTGTGTAAACGTTCCTCTCGGCTCCGAACCAGCGTCCCCCTGCCCACCTCGCATAACATCAGCCACCTGCTTCAGCTCAAACTGCCGACACTCCCAGTGTCTCCCCTTCATTAGTTTGTTTATTTCCTTAGGCGGCTCGCCTTTCTCTCTTACTGACCCGTTTGCATTTCAAACTAAAGTATTGTTCTGCCCACAGGAGGGAGACATCAGCTATTTGTTGTACCTGTCTCAGCATCAGCATCACGCGTCTCCCTCCGCTGTTTTGCTTGTCTGAAACCAAGCATCCAGCATCAGTTGTCTTTTCTCATTAACGTAACTGTTTGAGCTAATTGGCGATTTCTGTAGCCACAGTAAGCGGGAAGGGTTCCTGGACTGCTTTAAGTGTGGCCCGTCCAAAGTGGTTAATTAGAGGTGTTGGGAAAGCCTGGTACTCAGCCGTCTCAAGTCCCTAGAGTGGGAGATCCCCAGTGATCCAGGTAATAGAGCTGGAAGCAGCATGGCACCCACTAACGCCCTGTAATGCAATACCCACTTCTAAGGCTTCGGCTCTCCAGCTCCCACTGGACAGCCCAGTAGCCGACACTGCCATAATACCTAATGAAGAAGCCTGACACATTAACTTTTAGAGCGGGGCTTTACCTTGCCAAAACTCTCTCTGGCTTTACGGCTAATTCAGTCATAAGTAATTGTGACCATGTGTACGCACAAATAAAAATCCTGTGAATTTATAGTTTGTTATAAAAGCTTGCTCTTCTAGACTGTCCTTTTATGGTGCCACTTTTGCCTTTGTACTTTCACTGCGACTTGATATTTTTTGATTATATCTCACACATGTTCTTCGGTAAACTGGAGGAGGTGCTTTTCTGTTTGACTTTGCTCCCTCATTGATGTAACTTGACAAAGTGTGTCCCAGCTACGTGTGTTCGGCATATTTCCCAGTCATTTGCATCACAATGATGGGTTACGACAATGTGTGTTGATTAGTCTGGTCGTGTGGGTCAACCGAGATGATTCCCAGGCTGCTCTGGGCTTCAGGCACTCTGTCTTGCTCATCATCTATCATCTGCTTCCACAGCCGGGGGAAGTGACTAAGTGATTTTCACCCGGCCTCTCATCGCAGAAATTAACTTTTTATTCACCATCTGTTCCTCAGCTTGTTTTATGCCTGTGTTTGTATAATGAAATTGATGATAAACTCTTGTTGGGAAGAAATCTGGTGGTTTAATTTCGAGTAAAGGTTTCGTAATGAACCCTAACATTATTTGAAATGTGAAACCAACTTCCTACAATGTGGCAATAATACATATTTTGTTCTCTTCTCAATAATGAGCCACTATACTATATCATTTATTAAACATTTGGAATTAAGCTTAAGCATTATTAAGTGAAATGCACACTGTGGGGTTTATTCTGAATTCCACCAACTCGCCCTGTTTAATACTAGGAATAATGTGTTTCCGTTTTCTTCTCAGATTATCAAGCTGCTGGATGGGAAGCGTTCGCAAGCAGTCGGCATTCTAATATCGAGCCTGCATCTGGAGATGAAGGACATTCAGCAAGGTGAACAAGTATTTTCCGATGTCAGTCTGTTTTGAAATGTTAAGATCTTTGTGCACACTATGATTTAATTTTGATCTCTTTCGAGGAAGGAGCTCCTATTTCAATTCAACAGCAATAAACCAAATTTACAGTCCCGTTTAACAATAAATTGAGGATGACTCCTGATGAAATGCAGATGGAGTTATTCTTAGAGATGAGATAGTGAGCCCTGCAGCAGGGAATTATTTCCAAGCTCTTGACAGCTATTAATTTGTAACTAGAGGCACCTTTTTAATATTAACAATTTTTGTTTCGAATGGAACATGAATGACTTTTCCAGTAATCATGATGAGATAGAAAATGCCTAGTTTGCCAAAATGTGAGACGGATAAAAGCAGCCTTTCAGTTTTTCCTGCCAGGTTGCTTTAAATACCTCCTGCACTGTTTAAAATCAAATGGCAAACTTTCTCATTTGCATGAATTGATTGCATGCTTGGTTGTTCTGTGGAAAACACAGGCGTGTGTGTGTGGTAAAGTGGCTATATGTGTGTGTAAACACATAATATGTGTGTTGGGGACAGCGTAGATGGGACTGTGGCGGAGAGTGCCTGCCGCCTGCTAGTCTGAGCATGCGGCCAGCAGATCTGTTTATTGTAGCCAGTGACGGTTTCCACAAGCCTAATGGGACTGACACCCCACTAATGATCTAAGCATGTACAAAACCACCTTCCACAGTTAGCAGACACTGCGCTACCACATAAAACCACCTCAAACACAAGCCAAACAGCACATAACACCAGGACGCCCATTTTTTTCTCCTAACCCTTCAATCCTTTTCTCTCTGTTCCAGTGTCAGTTTGTAGAGGAGGTTTGGTTAAACACCCAGCATGAAGCTGCTTCCTGGTGTCTTTAATGGGTGTTGTATGTGAAATGGACAATTTGAATCGGACAATGATGGCCCTTAATAAGCACTTTTAAGACCTCCAGTCCCTGGCCTCGCCTTCTTGCCTCCCCTTTGTTGCCAAATTAAAAGGACATGGGACATGTAATGTAATTAGAGCTACTAGGGAGGGAGGGAGAAAGGGAAAGAGGGGAGTAGGAAAGGTAGCACTTTGGTTGAGGGAGGAAGGGGGTCAACTGCACCCGCCGGAGTGACTGGGGGACCTCAAGGGCCACCATGGTTCAAGGGCAAAGGGAGGCTCTCCCCCACACACCAACTAACCACACACACACATACACATGTTCACATACCACACATGCCCTTCCACACCAAAGCCGATGAGTGAAAAGTAGAAGGAGAGGGTGTGAGGCGGTTGGCAGGCAGGCTTTGATCTGTCGGTGTGGAGAGATATCCGGCTCCCCTCGGATCAGAGTGCTCCTGTGCACACTGGAGCAGGCCCCCCTTTGGTGTGTGATTGACGGCTGCATGGCTGAGGGACTGAATAATCCACTCTAATAAGATGTAGGAAGTGGACCTCCAGCATTCTCTGTGATCCAGACATTGGGACCACATTGACAGCTTCTCTGCCACAAGAACAGCTGGGAACCAGAATGAAAAGTATTACCTTGTTAGCTGGAAGCAGTGTGTCATTGAAAAGACTAGGGCTGTGTTGTTAAAATACTCTTGTGTACCTGTCCCAATTTGATAAATGATGCGTGGTACTCCATAAACAGCACTTTTTAAACTGTTATAAACATACCTTAAACCTTTTTCAAAACTCGAATTCTTGAATGTATACTACACATGAATATTGGTAGTAGCTAGAATTCAATAAATTATGATCTCAATATTAATTTAATTTAAAGGCATGAAATAACACATTCCTGTCTTTAGAAATTAAATGTTTAAATTCCATTGTCTCCCAGTTTCACTAACATTTACTTGGTCTGGCATGACAAACATTTTGACTGGTAGTTTATTGGCTAATGTTGGCAAACTTTTGCTATATTTTGCTGTGTAACTAACATTGTGTTCATTTTTTGGCTACAACACTTTTGACTATTTGTTGTCATTGCATAATTGTCAATTGTAGCCTCAGTGGCAAAAACATACAAAGCTTTGCTTTTAATGTTAATATAGTAAAAAGCTATTGTTATGTTAGCTAACTTTAGCAAACATTTGTAAATATTTGCTGAGTAGCCCAACTTTCTGACATTGTGTTGTTATGTTACACGATATTTGACCGTTGAGCTACTACTATCTAATACAATAAGCTACATATACAGTCAATTCCGGCCTTTCTCTTTATGCCTATATGTGCTAACTTTACGCTATTTGTTGTTTGAAAATGTAAGCTATGTTGTTTAATAGCATTAGCCTACTGAAGTTAGCTTGTGTTGTTATCTTTATACTTTGACAGCTGAAAATACAATAATATCTCTAATCATAAAGTATGGCGGTGTGAGCCTATTCTACGTAGAATACAGTTCTGTTCCTGCATCAGTTCTTGGTAATGTTTAGTCTCATTGAGGGACTGCTTTGAGAGTATGCTGCCCTCCTCAGTTGACCCCAACCAGACAACTTTCAACTGACTGTGCAGCACTGGAGCCATCCCTCCTGTCGTGTCCTCCTCCCTCACTGAGCTATAAACCTGTGACACTTCTCAGACACGGAACATGAGTCACTTTCTCTTTTTGCCTTTCGTTTTTACTACTTGGGTCAGGCTAAACAAACACACAGCCAGTAGGCAAAGCAGGACAAGAAACTTTAAACCTTTTTCACACATCTCAGTTTTTATGTGGCTAAATCATGATCTTTGCCAGACTTAATTAACCTTAATTATGTTTCTCGCTTGTTTCACCATCTCCTGTCGATCTCTAAAAATCATTACAGTCAGCCAAGAGGTTAAGCAGGCAATCTGTTTTGAGTCAGCGTTGGCCAAAGCATCCTTGGCGTCAGACCCAGTCTGACCTCCATATATCTACACCCGGAGCCTGGCTTCACCACCTCAAGCTGACATTCTAAGTTAGCTATGAGCTGCGTAGTTCAATCATGGTGTGTGTGTGTCGGTGGAGTGTAGATGAAGATAGACTTTGCTTTTAATCAAATATTATTTCTCTTCTACAATATGTAGTATGTATTGCATATAGATTTGCCAATATGTAGTATGTATTGCAAAATATATACATTTCTTTTAGCCGAAGTTTGAAAAAGTTACAGGGCTATCATGAGTTTACTGTGGGAAAAATCAGTTTGTTCTCCATGCACTGGCAGCAGTTAAAAAGAAGCATGCTTTGGCAAAGATCTTATTCATTTATAAGACTGACTGCTCATAATGAATATCTTTACTGTTCCAGCTGTGCTTACTGTGGACAACTCTGTGGTGGATTTGGAGACCATAGAGGCTTTATTTGAAAATGTAAGTATGAAGGAGCGGTCTGTCTGTTGTAATAAAATCAAGTCTCTAAAGTTATCCAACAGTTTTAACGAGAATAGAAAGGTCGTATTATTTTTATTGCAACAATTTGTTATAAATGTTTCCTGTTTTTTCGATGTGTGTTTCTTCTTAGAGGGCCACCAGTGATGAGTTGGGCAAGATAACGAAACATTATGAGAATGCAAAGGAAGATGAAGTCAAACTGCTGGACAAACCCGAACAGTAAGATCTTTTTTAAATACATTCATAAATCATGATAAACTCGCCTGTATTTCTAAGATAAATTAAGTTGAGTTTAGATATTGTATTTAGTGCTGTCAGTATTTATTTATAGTCTATTACATTTACTTTACTTTCAGAGATTTCCCACGAAACAGACCAACCCCAAATGAATTAAATTAAAAAAGAAATGTATTCCAATATTAATAATTAATACGTTTATTAGAACATATTAAATAATTTAGCCTAATATTGGGATACATTTTTGATTCCCTCTTTCTTAAGTATTTTTTGTCATAAAGTCTCTACAACTTTGTGTGTGTGTAATGGACATTGCTCCAGTAGTTCCTGTCAGGGTTAAGTAGTTTCGGGCCCATTAACGAGGCCTGGACCCAGCGGTGCCGCTCGGCCTGGCCTTCTTATTTCCATGTTTGACCAGAGCTGTCACTACTGCTGCCCGAGTCATCCCTACTCAGCGTCTAGCCCCATCAGCATGGCCTAATCACACAGGATGTTACCGCTCTGCTCCCCTCTGACACGGCACTGTTTACATAAGTCGTCCCGCATCAGGCCGGAGCTTCCTTTGATCAGTCTCCGTGCCCCGCTCGTTGCTCTACCTCCACCTGACCCCGCGGACCTTTCAAACCCAGCCGAGCAGTGCCGCTCATGACTATCAGCTGCCTGTGAACAGCAACATCGACTCCGCCTGCCAAGGATCCAAAATAGTTCTTCCTGTTAGACGTTTTGTTTAATTCTGTCATAACACATCACACCCCTTTCTCTTCCACCACCACCTCCTCCTCCCCTTTTGTTTTCCAGGTTTCTCTATGAGCTCTCCCAGATTCCCGACTTTGAGGGCCGAGCCCACTGCATCATCTTCCAGGCAGTTTTCCTCGATACCATCTCCTCCATCCGGCGCAAGGTGGAGATCGTCTCCAATGTCAGCAAAGTAAGAACACCATGTCCACGAGCAGTTTTCTCCGAAAGTGTCGTTAAGCTGCGTTAAGGTTTATTGTATTTATTTATTTTTATTGAGTCAGGCACAATGAGTTACATTATTTAGCGTTAAGGTTTATTAACCCAAAGGTTGTGTGTGTGTGTGTGTGTGTGTGTGTGTGTGTGTGTGTGTGTGTGTGTGTGTGTGTGTGTGTGTGTGTGTGTGTGTGTGTGTGTGTGTGTGTGTGTGTGTGTGTGTGTGTGTGTGTGTGTGTGTGTGTGTGTGTGTGTGTGTGTGTGTGTGTGTGTGTGTGTGTGTGTGTGTGTGTGTGTGTGTGTGTGTGTGTGTGTGTGTGTGTGTGTGTGTGTGTGTGTGTGTGTGTGTGTGTGTGTGTGTGTGTGTGTGTGTGTGTGTGTGTGTGTGTGTGTGTCAGGAACTGTTGGAGTGTGACAGCTTGCGGGAAGTGATGGGTCTTGTTCTGGCCTTTGGGAACTATATGAATGGAGGGAACAGGACCAGAGGTCAGGCTGATGGCTTCGGACTGGAGATCCTTCCCAAATTAAAGGACGTCAAGAGCAGGGTAACACATGCAATGTAACATTGAAAATCTGCCATAATTCCCTGGTAAATGTTTTGTTAGCTAAGTAAAGCCAAACAATCAAAGTAGAGAGATGTATATTCATATCTAAAGTAAAATTGTAATTTCTTTATCAGGACAATCGGATGAACCTGGTGGATTATGTTGTTTTGTACTACCTGCGTAATTTTGACAAGGTAAGGCTCTGTCAATCACATTAACACAATACACACAATGTAAAACATCTGTCACTCATATATCTTTTTATATTTCCTTCCCCTGGTACAGAACGCTGGCACAGATAAGAGTGTGTTCCCTATGCCTGAGCCTCAGGATTTCTTCCAGGCTGCTCAGGTTAAATTTGAAGACATCACCAAGGACATGAGGAAGCTGAAAAAAGATTTGACTGGTAGGACATACCCTGTTGCATATTCATTTCCACTGTGGGTGTCGAGGCTTAAACCACATTTTCCTTTGTTAGGTCACATTTGTTTCATTGTAAATCAGTCAGGGTAATTGTATACAGTACCATCTTTCACCAGCGCAGTTTGGATGTAAATGTTGATCTCCATGTTATCTTCCTGCCCTGTGTGAAGAAGGGTTGGGGTTGTATTGAGGACCTTGCATGGCCTGAGGCCGGCTTTTTCCCAGTTTTCAGTCATTGTATCTCTGAAAAGCTGTGTCATCATAACACCACAACCTCTCATGTTTCAGGAACTATGACAGAGCGTCTAGCCAAAGTTTCTTCTGCATTTCTTTGTTTTAGAGCAGGAGTTGAATCCAAAAAAGGCAACTTTCAGCTCATTGACGAAGCATCGGAAATAATAACTGACGCAATGTAAACTTGATTTTGGTGTTCAGAGCTCAAAGTGTCGTGGGCGCCGAGCCCCTCAGCCAGCCAGCCAGTCTTGGCCCAGGCCAATCGGAGGTTAAAGGCGATGCCCCCCAGTGCCCCTGGTGTCTGTGGTTATTTAAATCAACCAATAATACGGCATATGAAAGCAATTAGATATGCTCAGCAGCTCTCCCCTACGTTTTTTAGATTGCTGTTAAAGCCCTCTCCTCTCTGACCTGGGGGAAAAATACAAAGAGTCTACTAAAGTACCCAGACCCACCTCAAGCTGTCACTCATTTATTAGGAAAAATGGAAGACCTGAAGACAATAAATGCAACATAAGGGCCCTTGTATTTGATCTCTGCTGCAGCACAGTCTGGCACAGTAGTCCTCGGGGGTATTAGCGTCACAGGGCGAGCGTTGGATTCTGGATGTTTGGCGAGCTCCACCTCTGACTCCCACCATTTTTATCCTCTCCAGCCGCCAGGAATAAATATTTATGCCGGGCTATTATAAACCAGCCTAAAGAAAGCAAGTGGTCTTAATTATAATGCTAACACAGATCACTTCCATCCACATTGTGAAATGTGTCCGACACCGAGAGGCTAACACTGAGTCACACTTCGGGTTACTCGCTCTGTCTGCCCCTCACCTGATCCTGAGGTGGCGACTGCCGTGGTCGGCGGTGTCTCGCCCTCCAGGCTAAGGTCAAATGTCAGGAGACTCTATGCTGCGAGCAGTCTCTCTAAGCTAAGCCTCCTCCTTACACAGCATCACATTGGTGTCTATCTCTCAAATCTCAGCATACTGTATGTAAATTAACCCTGGAGTGTGTTTTCAGATGCTGCATGTTTGTTTAGCATTTAGTTAGCGTGATGGTCCCCGTCCACTTTGGCTGCCCTCTCCTTCACTTGGCTTGTGCAGAAACATGATCCTCTTTTGATGGGGCTTCCTGTTTGGGGAGAGGGTGATGACCTCTCTGTGTGCTCCTCTCAGGGGGAGAGGGATGAGTGGGAGGCCACGAGGAACCAACCTACTGTAGGGCTCCCATAAGGACAAATATCTTCAATTAGAGTCCATCACCTAAAGAAAACAACTGAACCTCTATCATGCAAACTCGCTCATCAAACTCGAAGTTGTATTTTCAGTCCTGTGAGTACCTACATAAAGATCCCTTTTAACTGCTGCGTAATTGGACTGGACAGAGAGGCAGGGACGCTACCGAATGAAATAGGATCAAATAAAAAGAAACGGTCAGAGCTCATTTGCTGCTCAGGGGAGTTTAGTGTTTCATAGAAGCCCTGGCCCAGGTTAGGCATTCATCACTGTGGCAAATGTAGACAGTGTCCTGATTTTAAATGGCCTTTAATGTCAGGTTCAGGCAGGGCCTTTTAGCCTGACGTCTGTTTAACGACAGAGGCTCCGCTAGGAATGGCATGTGTGAAGTCGGCGTGCTGAGGTACAGTCAACAAACAACAGGGAAATAATGCTCACTGTTGGGATGTGTGTCAATGATAGGTTGCAAATGGCGTGTGCCTAAGATAATGCATCAAATCAAGTCCACCTTTTTGCTACATTTCATTACATTTTTGATCAAAATGATGTTTATGAGAACTAATTCATTTAGTTGTACTTTTAAATAGATACATATTGTCATGACTTATCATGGCATTCTCTCATGAGCCAGCACATTTTGCCTGATGTCTCTACTTGTCAACAGAGTATTCTCCAACAAAAAGGTACGAAAAGGGGTTATAGTTTGATGGATAGCTGGTGATTTATGAGGAGGGAAATGGGAGAGAGTGTCTAACATTCTCTCCCTACAGAGGTAGTCTCCTGGCTGGCCTCAGCGAAGGGGGGGGGGGGGGGGGGGGGGGGGGGGGTAGCAGGCTTCATCCCGTAGAAGGGGGAGCTGGAAGTCTGACAGTCTGCTGGGATTGGAGATAATTGGGGATCAGTGAGAGAATTCACTTTCCAGGTATAAATAACAGAAAATATGCCAGGGATGGAGCCTTGTACTGATTTAACCTCTGATAAAAACATTTTCCAAAGTACCTCCCAATTTAATTTATTTTCTTACAACAGGGCTTAAGATTCACTATCTGATTCTACAAACAGGGATTTGTAAAACTGAAAATAACAAGATTTCAAATGAGTTATTGGTGTAGTTGGGACTGTAATTCTGATGGCAACAAATCTTTTTTGTGTTTTTCATGCGTTTCTCTGTCTGCTTGTCATCTCCCTCAGTGTTTACTTTTAATAATGATCCAGAGCTACAGAGACAGGAGGTGGCGGGGTGTTTTGAGACAGAAACATTCATCACACTGCTAGCTTGCTCATCTTGTGGTGCTCCACAGGCTGCCCATTCTCTGTTTAAGCCTTTTCATAATCCACACACACACACACAGTTGTGCATTGTCTTGGTGTGATGTGATTTCCTGGTAGCTGTAGTGAGGGGCTTTGGCTCACTGCGGTAAAATCATAATTACATATTGTCATCAAAGGCGCCCATCTTTTTGCAAACCACGCAGGGTAAATCCTGGAGCAGAGGTCTGTTTTTCTTCCCGTTAACTCTCCCACCGCCCCCAGTTACCCACAGCTGTTGTCATTATTACACAATAGCTGCTTGACTCTCCCCACGTAGGATGTGATAGATTAGAGGATGATTCCTCTATAGATAGAATTGCATATGCAAGTGTTGCTTGAGTGCTTCAGGATACCAGTTCTGATTCAGTCTGTGTTTTCACTCATGGTGGCATCTTTACCTGGGGATCTGCTTGGATTTGTCTGCACATGGAAGCTCACATGTGGCTCATGAAAAGCTCAAATTTCCTCCTTATTTGCTGGCCTAACATATTCCAAAAAAGTGCTTAATGTTGATCAGGATGATGTTTTTTAACAGTCCTATGTTCAATGATGTCTTGATGGAGAATACATTAGCACCTCAGTTCCAAAAATACTGAGACCACTGCCTGTGATCTCATCTGTTTTTCCCTCTTAGTAAATGTGTGTAGTGTGCGTCTGTGGTAGGACACTGTCCTCTGTGGCTACATGACCTGACTGAGAACCTGACGGGACACACTGTCTGACACCAGGGGGCAACACTCTAGTGAAGTCGTTGTTGTAAATTGGAAAACAAGCTTTGTTTTCTTAGCTAGTCTCCATTAGAGGAGCAGTGATTATTATCACTTTTCTTAGCTGTTCTTACCATTAAATTCTCTTTTGTGTCATCGTAAATATTTGTATCCAGACGATACCTTAACTAAAAAAATATTCGATTTTTGGGTTCATTATTTGTCATTTGTATATCGGAATGGTCATTAGACTTTTATTCTGGTTTATTCACTTCCTATTTAAATATCAAAATATGGATTATAGATATGCACAGATCGCCGGCCCTCTTAGGGAATACATGTGTATCATCACATCCGTGCACTTTTTATTTGTTTGATTAGAGAAAATATATACATTTTTATTTTTGTAATTTATTTCTGAGAATTAAGAAAAATAATTGTCAGTGACTCCAAAAAAAATTCAAATCACTTACCATACAATTGTACTAAAAATACCTTACCAGCATATTCATCTCTATATTGTTACTATAATATATGTTAATTATTATTCTAAAAATATACCTATGTACCTACAAAAATTGTTAATCATAATTATGATGCCATAATTATCAACATTTTAAGAAAAAAACAAAATAATACAGAACAAGTTATGACTAGGACCACATGAAGAAAGGAAACAATTATTGTCAAAATAGTTTGTCAGCACATTGTATTCAGCACATCAGAGCGGAACATAAAAACAATTTGTTTTAAAACATTTAATAAAACGTATTGTTAATTCTCGTTTGTCCCGTCCAGGTTTTTTGTGGGACTGTTTGTGCAGAGCGACGCATTAACACTCCACTAACACACCCTTTGGCTTTATTTAGGACCAATAGAGAATCATAAACTGTAGGCAAAGGCCCTAAAGGTTTTCCTGTCCGACCTTCAACATGAAGCAGAATACTCCTGTTCAATACACAACTCTAAAACCAAGACAATGTCTCAAACTGGAGTTTTTATTCTTTACAGCTGCTGTTTTTGTGAGTTTCCTTTTTGCGGCCTTTGCTGTCTGGACCACATTTGGAAGCGAGCCGCCTTTTTAAATTGTAGACTTGCTGTTTTGAACACAGTTTTAATGGGTCCTTTTGAGTTGGGGGATTTCTTGTAATGAAATGCAGTTTGTCTAAACAGGATATTTTGGTTGTCATGTTTGTATGCCTGCTGATTTCTGTTTTTTATTTTCACAACTGCCTGCCCTAACCATCCAATAAGGGTTTCTGGGATCCCGACTGTGAGGCTGCACCTAGTTACTCCTCGTGTTTCCTGTCTGATCTATCAAGACAGCCAATAAATAAAAGATGTAATGGACTGAGGTCTCCGAGCTGCAGGTGCAGCGGCTCCACGTGCGAACATATGAGAGCCAAAGTCGGATCTAAAAGCTGCGACGCAGTGAAGTGAGACAGCGGCCAGACCTGTTAACGCTCTTGTTGTGTTGCGGCACTATTATGCTATGCAGTCATAAGCAAGTTAAGGTATTTATTGCGGCCAATAATGACTTGCAGATTGGAGGAATGTGCCAAAGTTCTTTCACCAGGCGTCTGTGTGTAAAGTAACCCAGGCTTACAGTGGAGAGGTTCGGCTGGAACACGCTCAGTCACGGCTGTTTCCTCTGTGTGAGCTGGCTCGTTTGGCACCAAGCCCGTCCACAAACAGCAAACACATCTGCTGCTCTCACATGGACAACCAGGTCGGACGCAGAATACAAAGCAGAAATGTGTCTTTGACTGCATCTTTCCAGACTACAATAATAGGACATCGGAAACAACAACATCATGTAAAAATCAGACACATATCACTGATTTGTACACACTCTTTCCACTAATAGTATCCGTTCAAATCAATTAGTAACAGAAAAAGGAGGAAAAAAACGAATTAATTAAACTATAAATAAAACTATAATTTTATGTTTTGAAATCTGAATGAAATGCTCTCTCTGTTTTTTTAGTTGAATTACATTTTCTTTCATTCCTTGTGTTACGCCCAGTTGTGTCTCCCCCTCATTGGGGGAGGTAACAAGGGAAGTTTGTCTGTGGTTTTCCATTGTGGCACATTTAGTCAGTCAGTAATTGTGATTATTGTGAGTGTAAAACACATAATGTTCCACACACTTAACAACAAGAGGGCTACTGAAAGAAAACAATAAGAACAATGTAGATTATTTGTTTTCAGGTTAAGATAAAAGATTTTGTGAGTTTCTAATTTAATAAAATGGCTTTAAAGAGAGCTCAAGCTTCCTTCAAGTGATCTTGTGTTTCACCTCCCCTTATTATTAATTTGTTTTTAAGTTCTTAATTAGTTTGTCTTTTAATGACTTAACTCTTACCAATTAATTTATTTTTCTTCAATTCTGTTTATTATAATGCATTTATATCCTTCCTCATTTCCCTCCTTTGTCTCCTCTGTCTCTCTGACAGCTTGTGAAAAGAACGTGCAGAAGGTGTGTGCTAACTCGTCGGAAGAAAACCTCCAGCCCTTCAAGGAGAAGATGGCCGGATTCGTCTCTGCTGGTGAGTCCAAAGGTTTTATCTGTGGCAAAACTGCACACACGAAAACAGCATGGAAACACAAATTATTTGCTAGTTATAAATATGTATTTTTTTTTCCCTTTCCATTATTTTACTAAATTCACAGAAAAGTTAACCGCAAAAACATAAGTTGTGATTTGATAAAATGGACCTTTATTAATCCCCGTGGGGAAATTCAGGATTTTAAGCGGCACCAGGGTGAGAGCGAAAATCAGGACGGTACAGATTCACACAAGAATAATACAATTAAATATAAAAATCAAAATGATATACAGGTTATTAACTGTTAAAACAAGAAATGAATGAAATGAAATGAACATATATACATATTGAGTCTGGATTGTTAAATGTATTTACATGAATCATTAGCAAAGATTTTATGTACATCTCGACAATGACACCAAAAGATGATCTCTTTTTCAAAAAGAGAGAAATTATTGATTGATATGTTAACTATTTATTTAATCCCGAATTAGGTGATAGGCTCAGTTTTGTGTTTATAAAGAGAAAGCATCTTTGCCAAATCTCCCCAAACTCTCCATGCACAAATTCTTACTCAGTCCTGCTCATAAGATGAATTGTCTTATGTTAAGTTGTAAAGGACCCTGAAAGAAATGGTCAGTGTCTTCAAAGATGGAGGTTATGAACTAGTCGTTAAACCGTGCTTACAGAGCAGAAAAGCCCCGTCTTCACCCTGAGACCTTTTTTAAAAAGAGAAAGATGTAATTATGTTTTTTGCCATGTCAGACTGATGGTCAGATCTGCCTCTCAGAGCATGTATATATGTGTGTGTGTGTTCTGCTGGGAGAGGGCGTCTCGCTGCGCTGTAAGACAGCATGAGGACAGTCTGCAGGCCTGTAGAAGGGATCACATTGCCTCTAACATGGTTCTCATGTACTCTCTGCTGCCATAAAGCTGGCAGGGCACCTCTGGCCGCGGCCTTGTAAAGACTGGCCGGCCTCAGTGGATCAGGGCTGGGGACCACCGGGACAGGGGCAGAGCTTCCCCCGGGACACACTGATCATCCCCCCGTGTGTCCGCTTTCTGATCCACACACTAGTCTTCTGAGCATTTATTATAGTTGTAGTAACTGCCACCCTAAATATCCTTACCTTGTTTCTTCTATTGCCGAAATCACAAACTGCAAGTTGGGCTGAAATGCACAGGAAAATAAATCCCTTTCAACCTTTTAATACTTTATTTTCTGCTGGAGAAAATCAACAATGTAAGAATTCAAACACAAGGGCTTTTTTTGGTTCATTATTGAAGGTTTCTGTGTACACTTTTGTCTCACTTATCAATAAAATAATGATCAATGCCGGCCATTATACACCCATATGCTGCTCCACTTTTGCTTCACCTAAGCTGCTTATACACGAACCCTCCGCTGTGTCCAAGATCTCTTAGTTTACCTCAGATGGTTCCATTTCTTTCTTCTGCTGTCACATCTCTTGATTCAGATGTGCCTGGATAAATAGCTGGACAATAGCTAAATGCATGACAGTTTTATGATAAGCACTTTAAACCAGTAGGAAATTAGGGTGCTTTGGATTAACATGGAGGCTCAAAACGTGGGCAAAAAAGACCCAAAACTCGGCAATAAACCAGCAATGCCTGTTAATGTAGTCGGGTGGCTGGTTTATATTAACCTTCTTTAGGAGGGCCTGTATTTAATACACTTTGCTGCTGCCTCCGTCCCCAGTAGAACATATCTTGGCCTTAATGCCAGTATTCCTGATTTCTTCTCCAACTTGGGGCATGCTGACTGCTATCAACTGTAGGGATAAGTACCTCATACAACCCCACTTAAACAAATCTGAAACAATACACTCACTCCATCATTAAAGAGTCAGATGAGGTATCTCCCAAAGAGATTGAGCAGTATGTTTACGGTGCAGAGTGAACATTTGTGGAGAGTCCATGTTTATAGTAAAGTTCCTGATTGTTTGTTATTTCATACCGAACCAATTTGTTTTAATGGAAATGTGCCATGACATTGTTCTAGTTAGTGTATCCCCCTTAACAACTTGTGAGTAGCGCTTAAGCCTCCCCTTTGGCCATTATCGCAAAAGCTTTTACAGAAACCACTGCGGTTGCCACTGGCTACAAAGCGGCATTGATTTGCAAAGGCACATCTTGAACATAAACTCTCCAGTGGGATACTTGTAAACCTCGCTTTCATAAACAGAATTCCGCGAGCCGTTGCCCGTGCGTTGGGAGGAGCGGGGTGTAATCATTGTTCGTGATGAATCCATGACTTCAAAAGGCCAAACAAAGCAACAGCTCCTCACATCAAAGAGCGGCTGAGGCTCTAAACTCTGACTCATCAGTGATCGAATACATTTCTCACCCAGGTAAACGCTCAGGAGGCTGATGCCAGATGCATGTGTTTGACACATGATTTGAACATATTGAAATGAACTGTTAAGGGAAACTTCTTCCTTTTTAAACAAGACAAAAGTGCACAAGCGAATCAAGACTTGAGACTTGTTTGACTGAGTAGTGCTGACCCATAACCCCGCCTGTTGAGAAGCTCACAGCAGGGCCTGCAGGTGAACCCAAACGCCTCGCTCTGCCTCTTAAACTTGGCTGTGTGATCTCTACCAGGTCTAACACGGGATACTTCTGAAATCCGGTGATCCATACTTTATCCTTTCTCTCTTAAGGGTATTCCTGTGCTCGCCCTCTCCCTGCTTTGAGCCAAGTTCCCTCTACCAACAACATGTATCTTCAGAACTATTCTCCAAGTAAAAAGAAAAAACTGCCCGTGGCGATTTCATCATCTAATCAAGCACCTTTTTCCTTTCCCTTTTTTAATAGGAGCTCTTTGAAACCTTTGGGGATACTTTTAGCGGCATTTTTTGATGTTGTAAACAAGGCCATGACTAATTGAAAACAAATTCCTGCTTTTATTCTTAGCTTTATGTAAGTCTCCTTTCGCCGGGCCTCTTAGGGAATACATGTGTATCATCACATCCGTGTACTTTTTATTTGTTGTCAGTGAGTCAGACTCCAATAACCAAGATTCCACTTACGTAGACTGAGTAGAATTTGCACATGACAACTGTCTGAGGAAGCTGTTTTTGATGAAGACGTGAATGTGTTTTTAAGTAGAGGTGATGTGGGGAAACAGAGAAAGATGCTGAGGATTTCCACCAAGCATCCCTCTAACACTGCTTTCCCTCTCTTTGTCTTCTAGCTGCTAGGTATAGCCGCGGTTTGGAAAAGTGTGTCAGAGTTTTAAAGCCCTCATTTATTGTCCCTCTCAGCATGCACATCTCATAACTTTCTAGTTAGCGACTACTGGTTTCATGTTTACACAGGGAGCGGTGGAAGAGAGACTTCACACTCTCTCTCCCTGGGCCGCTCTCTCTCTTTCTCTCTCTCTCTCTCTCTCTCTCTCTCTCTCTCTCTCTCTCTCTCTCTCCTCTCTCTCTCTCTCCTCTCTCTCTCTCTCTCTCTCTCTCTCTCTCTCTCTCTCTCTCTCTCTCTCTCTCTCTCTCTCTCAACCTCTCGGCTCCAGTGCCACCTCTGCACAGTCGCACCAGAGGGGTACCTCAGGCGCCAGCCTGACCCCCACTGAGACTAACGCCATTGGTCACGGACCCCCCCCCCCCCTTCTTCTATCCCAGACATGGCCACAACTTTCATTCATTAGGTTTACCTCAGCCCCCTTACTCACATACATGTTTAAAAAAAAAAAAAAAAAAAAAAAGTGAAAGTAAAAGAGGTAGTTGGTCAGAGGCTTAAGCTCACCTTCTCCCAAAAGACCCCCAAACCTGCCTTTGAACAATTTTTTGGAGACTTCCCCCTCTTAAATCTTCAAGTAGGAAAGGTCCCCCATCATTGTAAAAAGGATGAATCTGGAAAAATGCAATAAATCTGAGATCACAGGCACTCTCTGGCCCTAGATAAATTCTTGCACCTCGGCCTGGCCCGCCGCACACATCTGCCTTTTATTTAGACACTTTTACATGGCAGGAGTCCACAGGAGCCTCCAGTTCCCAAGCCTCTCTGCTCAACCCTGCGCCCCTGCTTTCGGCTCTGCTTAGAACATGCACATGTATGTGGACGCACACACGCAGAACAGACCACGGCCCCCCCGCCCCGAGCCCAGGCGTCACAGGCTCACACTCTCATGCGTCAACGCACAGAAGCACGTCAAACTTTACAATGTGCTTAACTGTCACTTGGATAACACGCTTGCCGTGTCACTGACATCTCAACCCAGAGCCCCTTTCTTCTTCTTTTCTTCCTCATTGACAACTTTAGGGATGGCTAATGAACACAGCGCCCCCCTCTGGAACCACCAGTGTTCCTGGGATCAGTTCTTATTGGTTATCAGAGGAAAACCATGTTTATCCATAGCACCAAAACCCCTTAATACATCCTAATTCAATATTTTCTCTCCTTTTTACAGCTCAAACGGAGCATTCAGCTGAGGAGGAAAGTCTGGATTTGGCGCAAAGAAGGTAGGTCACTGACTAAAACAGCCACAAGCTAGGAATGAAACATTATGTTTGGATGCAAATAAAAATGGGATTTCGTCAAGTGTGGTGAAATGCAAACATCACACGGCAACTATTTAGCATGCTTCACAGAGATAACATATCTGGTTTCTGATAGCACTAATGTTTACTCGTATAGCAGCGTACAGATATTAGCAGCAGCTGATAAGGTATAGTAAGATGAAGTAGGTTTAAAGTATCGTGTTTAGAAATGTTAAAACTGCAAACCAACTTTGATTGAACAGGGATTGTTGAAGCAGTTTATTTTGCATAATTAGGCACCTGTATTTTAACTATGCATACATTATAGGCTTTTTATAATTGGTGTTAAGTACCAAATAAACATGCTTACCAGAGACAGCAGCCTCTATCATTACACATGCATATTGTATGTTCAGCCTGAACCCAGTGCTTCCTCCCCATGCAGTTCCTATCATTCTTATCTGCCATGTTTTGTGCAGAAGACTCCAGAGAGTTCGCTGAGAGATTTATAGGCGAAAGACACACTGGCAGTCTCTGAGCTCACAAAAATCATATCTGGAACATTTCATATTGGAAGAAGATGGTGGAGCAGACAAACAAAGCAACTAGATTATTTTGGCCTTGTTTGGATAGAGAGCAGGATTGTTTGCTTTATATCGCAACACTCCCACTTCCAAAATAAATCATGAAACACATAAAGGAGAAAGTAAGAGGCACCGGACGCAGAGAAAATGGAAACTGTAAACAATTAGGAGGTTGATTGCTTTGGACAAAACTATAACTCAGCAAACGGTTTCAAACTGTTCTGTTTCATGTTGCCATTTTTAAGCCAAGTGAGAACTGCTGCACCTCTGTCCTGGTGTGTGTGTGTGTGTGTGTGTGTGTGTGTGTGTGTGTGGTTGTGTGTGTGTGTGTGTGTGTGTGTGTGTGTGTGTGTGTGTGTGTGTGTGTGTGTGTGTGTGTGTGTGTGTGTGTGTGTGTGTGTGTGTGTGTGTGTGTGTGTGTGTGTGTGTGTGTGGTGTGTGTGTGTGTGTGTGTGTGTGTGTGTGTGTGTGTGTGTGTGTGTGTGTGTGTGTGTGTGTGTGTGTGTGTGTGTGTGTGTGTGTGGTGTGTGTGTGTGTGTGTGTGTGTGTGTGTGTGTGTGTGTGTGTGTGTGTGTGTGTGTGTGTGTGTGTGTTATTGATCAAACAGGCCCCGCAGCTGATGGCACCTTTTGCCTTTAATGAAGTTTTAAAAATGTTCATCTAAAGAGGGGGCTGGCTGACTGGCGTTAGGTAGAGCAGGAGGGAGGGGGGGGCTCTTTCTCAGGTTCCCACAGAGCCACCTCGTAAAAGTGACACGCTGTTGATGAATACGGGCGTCAGCGGGCTCACCGGGCCCTGGGTGGGCTCTCACATCTGTGCTGGATGAGGGATCCTCACAGTGGCCGCTCCATTATGGTGTTAATAAAGGAAATAGACAACACATCCTCAGTGCTACCTAATACCTCTGTATCATGAGGAGTCAGTGAGTTTAGACGGCTGCCAGTGAAAGTAAGCCACCAGTGAGAGGGACTGGGCAAATTAATCGGCATCAGGAGAGTACCTCAAAGTATGGCTTATCCATTTTTTTTATTTTGGCTTTATAAACAAATGTCACCATCAATGACCATTTATGAGATATATTGATACATTGACCATTTTTTTAACTGCAACCTTTTTGCAAGTTACCCCTGGTATCGAAACTCTGGTATCATATAGCCAATAGTATCAAACTTACAGTATATAGTCCCTATCTTTGTTTCAACCATGCTAGAAGTGTGGCAATATGGATGTCAGGTAGTCAATCAGACTACTACATTAGTACACACATGAAAATCTAAAACTGTTGGACTATTACTATGAATTGGCGTGACATTTTGTAAACACATCTATGTTTCCCACAGTGGCGTTTTCTCCTGGAGGCCAAGGGAAGCCAGGCTTCCCCTGTTTTTTTGGATTGTAGTTATAATTTTAATAAATAAATAAAAACTCTTTGTTTAGTTTCGGTCATTCTTCTTTGCTGTGTGTTGCTGCCGGCCCATTTCTCCCCCATTCTCATTGAGTATTTTACAAAGAGGGAAACAGCGCCCCTCTAGATGTAATGGTAAAACAGTAGATTGCACTCACTGTTGCGAGAGGAGGCCAGCCGAAATAGAGTGGCGAAGTCACGCCCACCTACTTCCGGGTAATGGGACCTTATTTCGGAAAAATTATGCATTGAAGTCAATGGGGAGAGAAAACTTATCTTTCGATCCCGTTTGAATTGTGCCATGAATTACACATATGATGTTTGTCAATCTTAAAAAATAATTTCCATGTCAAAAAAGTCACAGTTTGTCGTAAAACTGTTGAAATATAAGACTATGAAAAATACGTAACTAGAAAGACTACAAATCCCAGAGTCGCGTAAGTGATGTCACAATTGTTTTCCTCCACCATTCAGATACCTAAGATCAGCGCAATATAGATTTAATCTATCTATATGGCGCTGGCTAAGATAAGATAACTTTAACAAGATGCCTGTGTGCTTAGTACCAGGTTGTTATTATACCAGCAATGGGTCTTGCTCGTTCTTTTGCTTCCCGTCTGATGAAAGGACCAGGAGTGGCTTGATCAAGTTAGCTACCTAGCTAGTAACTAGCACGTTAGTTAGCATTACAGCCTTGTCATTTTTATTAGCCTTAACATGAAGTAACATTAAGTAACCCAAAATGTTAAACAGTAAGAGTAGTAGTCATATTTCGTGAACCCTTTGAATAGTACTGTCACCGGTGTGATCATTCTATAATACACCATTTAAGCCCGGGGGAGAAATGCTAACGCTAACGTTAGCATCGGCGATCTTCTCTACTTCATGCTATCTGCACAAATGGTTGACATTAAACATTAAAACGACCAGGCAGTTCAGAGAGAATCAAAGGAAGGCAGGCAGGCAGCTTTGCATGACATTCTTCAGGACGTGTTTCATTGTGGTGATAGTGAGGATAGTCAATCGTTTTGTTGACAAGACAGTAGTGACGGCCATCTTGGTGACGTGTGTTGTTGACCAGAGATGTAGTTCATTGAGCGTTTCACACAAACAAATGTGTTACTTCACAGTTTTACGACACATTTTTTTTTTTTTGACTTGCAAAATTGACAAACATCATATGTGTAATTCGTGGCACAATTCAAACGGGATCGAAAGATAATCTTTCTCTCTCCATTGACTTCAATACATAATTTTTCCGAAATAAGGTCCCATGGAGGTCCACCGGAAGGGGAGGGACTTCGCCACTCTATAGAGAGGCGAAGTCCCTCCCCTTCCGGTGGGACTCATGGGCTGCGTTTCACTTCGGTTAAATGGATTCCTTGCGTCCTTCACTTGCGTCGTTTCCCTGTGACTAGTCCCTCCCACCAGGGAAGCATGGAGAGACGCAAGGAAACCACGAGAAGCAGGGAAATGAGTTTTAAGGGCAATGGGACGTCCTTTCCTCCGGAGCGTCACACAGCAGCCAGCTCTGTCCCCGTTATTTTCACACACACCCCCGCCTCTGTTAGTACACATTTACTGACACAAACATGTGTATCATCTGTTGTAGACCCAAATAAATAAAATAAAATAAGAACTAATTCACAAAAAACATAAACGCCATTCTTAAAATGTATAAACGAACTATTAGTTTGGTTAATATTGATTACAGTGCACAATATAAATAAAATAATTGTGAGAAGAAAAAGAGATATGTTATCTATCAAAACCCAGTTAGATTAACATTAACTGGATTGCACACTTTGTGTGGATATGTAGCAAATTAACATGTTGAATAGCACTTAATGACTGACTGAATGGAAATGACAATAAATGAAAATGTAAAACGAAAAAAGCGATCACGAAAATGTTTCCAATAAATGAATGAAATGATTTTTGTCCACTTTGTTGTTCAGATATATCACATATTTGTAACTAAATGATGCATTAATTGAAACAAAACACAGTATAAACTGAGGAGTGAGTCCCGTGAGTTTCATGTGTTTTCTTCACTCCGCTGGGAAACTCTGCTCTCCTGTCAAGAAGCATCAGATCAGTGCATGCGCTGCACCATCCAATCAGTGAGCGATACACAGTAAGGGGGCGGGGCGAGTCTCTGAGGATTTCATCGAAGGATGGTCTGGTGGTTCCTCGATTATAGCTCCTCCATTGTCGCTCCTCGCTCCTCGATCCTCGGTCCTCCGGCAAAAATAAGGCCATTGGGACGTTACTCAAAATGGCGCAGACAAATCAACTTCCGGTGAGACCGAGGAGCGAGGAAATGAAAAATAAGAGAAGTGAAACGCAGCCCTGGGACCTTGGCTGCATTTCACTTCTCTTATTTTTCATTTCCTCGCTCCTCGGTCTCGGTCTCAGCGGAAGTTGATTTGTCTGCGCCATCTTGAGTAGCGTCCCAATGGCCTTATTTTTGCCGGAGGAGCTATAATCGAGGAACCACCAGACCATCCTTCGATGAAATCCTCAGACACTCGCCCCGCCCCCTTACTGTGTATCGCTCACTGATTGGACGATGCGGCGCATGCACTGATATGATGCTTCTTGACATGAGAGCAGTTTCCCAGCGGAGTGAAGAAAACACATGAAACTCACGGGAGTCACAACTCAGTTTACAGTGTTTTGTTTCAATTAATGTATAATTTAGTTACAAATATGTGATATATCTGAACAACAAAGTGGTCAAAAATCATTTTATTCATTTATTGGAAACATTTTCATGATCGCTTTTTTCGTTTTACATTTTCATTTATTGTCATTTCCATTCAGTCAGTCATTAAGTGCTATTTAACATGTTAATTTGCTACATATCCACACAAACAAACTAAGTGTGCAATCCAATGAATGTTAATCTAACTGGGTTTTGATAGATAACATATCTCTTTTTCTTCTCTCAATTATTTTATTTCTATTGTGCACTCTAATCAATATTAATCTAACTAATGTTAGTTTATACATTTTAAGAATGGCGTTTATCTTTTTTGAGAATGAGTTCTTATTTGATTTTATTTATTTGGGTCTACAACAGATGATACAAATGTTTGTGTCAGTAAATGTGTACTAACAGAGGCGGGGGTGTTTGAAAATAACGGGGACAGAGCTGCTGTCAGACGATCAGCTGTGCAGCGTCATCACAAACGGACGTCACTTCACGTGACACTCCGGAGGAAAGGACGTCCCATTGCTCTTAAAACTCATTTCCCTGCTTCTCGTGGTTTCCTTGCGTCTCTCCATGCTTCCCTGGTGGGAGGGACTAGTCGCAGGGAAACGACAAGTGAGGGACGCAAGGAATCCATTTAACCGAAGTGAAACGCAGCCCATATTTCGGAAAAAGTTTGTATTGAAGTCAATGGAGAGAGAAAGATTATCTTTCGATCCCGTTTGAATTGTGCCACGAATTACACATATGATGTTTGTCAATCTTAAATAATTTCCATGTAAAAAAAAAAGTCAGAGTTTGTCTTAAAACTGTTATAATATTATATAAATATAAGACTATGAAAAATACGAAACTAGAAAGACTACAAATCCCAGAATCCCGGTCCTGCATGCTGGCTCTTACGGAACCGACTAACTCCCCTTTTGTGTATGTACAGCTCTCAACATGCCCAGACTTGTAGTGATTTTCACCTCTTTTAATACTTTTCGCCTCATTCTGAAAGAAAGAAGTGAAATGTGCCAACGTGACGGCCGTCTTGGTGTGTGGTGCGAGACGGGAGATGTAGTTCATTGAGCGGTTTCACACAAAAAAAGTGTTACTTCACAGTTTTACGACACATTTTAATTTTTTTGACTTGTAAAATTATCTTTTAAATTGACAAACATCATATGCGTAATTCGTGGCTCAATTCAAACGGGATCGAAAGATAATCTTTCTCTCTCCATTGACTTCAATACATATTTTTTCCGAAATAAGGTCCCATGGAGGTCCACCGGAAGGGGAGGGACTTCGCCACTCTATTGGCTTCCCTTGGTGAAAAAAAAAGGAGGGATTGACCAATCAGACGAGGCTCACGTCATGCCCTTGCCAACCTGTGATTGGTCAGGGCCATGCCAAGGGAAGCCAGAGGCAGCTGGCTTTCCTTGCCTCACAATCCAATCAAATCGCATCAACTTAGTGGTGCAGTGACGCGTCCTAAAACCCGGAAGTAAGCTGCGCTCGGGTTCCCTTCCCTCCACAAAAAAGCAATGGGATTTCTCTCCATAGGATTTTGGAAAATAGTTGGAAATAAGGTCTGTGGAAAACGAACCTGTTAGATAAATTCACGTTTTGTTCAGCCGGATAATATCCACGAATCATAAATCTAATCGATAGATAGATAGCGTCACTGCACCACTCTCACCGCCGTTAGAAAGTAGCAAGCAACTGAAGCAAGTGCAATTATGGAGGGTGGAGATTTGGAGTATTTAATCAAAAATAATTGTACTAAACTTCCGCTACAGCAGCAACTAAATATGAAATCTGATGACAGGCCGATGCCCAAACTGGAGCTGTGTACAGGAGCGAATCGGACGTAAAACGTTAAAGGTCTCCTGATTTAGTTTGTGAATGAATGCTTATCAGAGTTTCGGCTGGAGAGTGCGTGCGGACCTGTCGGTTAGATAACAGGCGTGTAAGTCCTGCATCTGTTTGATACAAATGTGTGTAAAATGATACCGGGCGCTGTAATCACTCATCTGGTTAAGTTATTACATTGACCACCACCCCCGACCCAAAAAAAAGGACGTATTATTGGCTTCCCCTATTTTTTTTCCCACGCCACGCTACTGGTTTCCCAATGGGTGAAATGTAATACATTTGACGATCTTGTGCCATTACTAGGTCAATTTAAATCTGCCCAGTACTTTCCTATACTGTATCAAAACAATACCTGCAAGATGAATGACTAGCTAATTTTAGCACGCTAACATGCTAAACTAAGATGTGAAAATTGTAAACACACCTGCTATACGTCAGGATGTTAGCATCGTCATTAGCAGCATGTTTTCATGTAAGCGTTAGCATTAAGCTAAAAGCACTGCTGTTTATGAACTTACAGATCTAATAGCAGGACTCTTTAGCCTTGCTCTTTTTGTCCATTATGTTATTGTGGTGGAAATTCCACACTTAATCACCTTCTGGTAAGAAAACAACAAATATACAAGCTTAAACCAAAGTTGTGTTATTTAATAAAGAGTATAGCATTTAACAGAATCAATCATATTTCCAGCTGGAAAGGACAGAGGTCCTGCACTAGTAGATAGTACCAGGATCTGACCCTGTTACACAGAAAAGCAATGTCATTATTTATACAGATGAGACACAGGAAGGAAGGCAATCCACATTACAGTCCTAAATGAGGTGGGGGGGCAGACAAAAGGGGAAGTGCAGCATGTTAATTACAAGCCCTAAACATCCATATGATAATTGCCTGACAATAGTAAGGGCGACACCCTTCTGTCTGACAACATTTTGTAGCCAGGAGACCTAAATGCATATTGAATCACTGTAAATTCCCATCATAGTTATTAAAATTCCCAAAAAGTTAATCATGTTCAATTGGATTATATAAAAATATTTAAAATAATATTAAATGATGGTGCAGCATTACCAGTCCAAAATATCTTTAAGCTTGGTGTAATTGTGTGTACAGTGTGGTACGAAGTTAATTAATTTAGATGTAATTCTAATGAGACATTCTTGTAAAAAATGTGGATTTGGCCAATCCATAGCGAGTTACGATGCCTTTCCTCCCAACATGCAGTTCTAATTTGCCTGCTTGATGTTTGGGTTCACTGAGGTTTTCTGGTTCTGTCCTCAGTTCCGTCTCATTAAGCTTCCTTCTCCCACATCATGCTCAATTTCATTTGGCCCAACGGCCTCTTCCACAGCCAGCAGGCAGTCATGGTTTCATAGACGCTAGCTCGTAAGTTATTCTACTGCGTTTCTGACGATGGCACACAGCGGCTTAGTGCCTCTGCTGGATCAGCCAACAACACAGAGTTTACTTCTGTAATCGTTTTACTGGGGAAACAAAGGAATGCAGAGTTGCCTGTCCAAATATTTCCCTGATTCTCACGGCTGCTCATGGTTTTGTAATGGGTCTTTTTTTATAGCTGTCAGTGAGGAATGCCGGCTGTGGGTGCTGCAGTAAACCCTCTCACGGCAATGGCATCATAACATGGATTTCAGAAGTGTGTGTGCAAGTTTAATTGTTCCGCGCTCGCAAATTAACAAAGGCCTGATTTTGTTTATGTTTGGTAGGTATACTCGCGTGTGTGAGTGTGGTTGCATCTGTTTTGAGTGAAGCCCTTGTGTATCTGCCTCTTGCGTATGCTTGAGAGGGTAGAAGGGAAAAGGCGCTGTTGCTTGATTTGTGAACGCTCTGACATGATGACCCAGGGTCATGTCGGAGAAGAGACTGTGTTCATGATGCCAAAGCAGACCTGGCTACAACAAAGCTACCTAGGAAGAAAGGTCTGTTTGGTCAATCTAAACATCCCAGAGACTCTGATTTCTTCTGTAGCGTACAGGATGATCTACTGCGCTTTTTTGAGCATCCAAGCAAAATGACTCATCACTGGGAAATGGGAAGCAGAAGCCACATTTTTCATCGTCTGAGCAGCATATTGTACCATTTCCCTCCGCATGAACGTGTCTTAGATTAGCGTCGCAAAAAGCCACCTAGCATCTGGAGGTCAGAGCCTATCTGGGTGTCAATGGGACCGGGAGCATCCCTTGAATCATAGCCGCCTTTTATCAACCCCTTTGACAGGCATGGCAAGAAAATGTATTTTCTGTTTGGGTTAGGGAGGGAATCTGAAGCAGCCGGCTGCTTTTCATGCCTCGTGTGTGCTGCTGGGAGCTTTGCGAAGAGTTCAGATTTGGTTACAATTGAATTAGGCTGAGGAGCTGGTCTGCAACAGTGCTACAGTCCCTGTGAACAGAAAACAGAAAATGTGTTTATTCACACAGATCTGATGTTTTTGTGAGCTCGTATCATATTGACATCTTTGATAGACTGCCAGCAAGTATGTTCTAGGAGCTGTGAGTGTGTGTATGTGTGTGTGAAGAGCAGCAGTCTGTTCTTGGCTGTCTCCCTATCCTCTGGCAGTGTTCCCCTGCAGGCTGTGGAGGTCAATGTGATAATGGAGCCGCCACTACTGCCTCTCCCCAGTGGCCCAGCAGGGTGGAGACTCTCCTCCAGCTCTGTTTCTCGCCTCTCTGTCTGACTCCACATCCATCTTTTTCTATGCGCTGTGCCTGAAATTGACCCTTCTTAACCTCCATTTGTCTGTGTTTGTTGGACTTAAACCCCTTAGTTTCCTCTTTAAAGCTTTTAATGTAACATAATCACTGGCACATTTATTTATGTTTATTCTACAAGTGTATGTGTGTGATAAAGATGACACCATTTGTGCCTCTGTTCTGTTTTCCCAATGCAGTTTCCAGGACACAGTGAGCTACTTTGGGGTGAAGCCAAAGTCCGGAGAGAAAGACGTGGCCACGAATTTAGTTTTTATGCTTTGGTACGAGTTTTGCAACGACTTCAAGAACGCCTGGACACGACAAAACAAGAACATCTCCAAGGAGAAGTGAGTTGGGAATGTTTTTTTGTTTCAAGTCACACGATTACATGTACTTACATTCCTCAGAGTTATCACAGATTCTTGAAACTTTAAACATTAAGCCTGTGTTACAAATGTGCATGATGGGAAATGTAGGATCTGGTGAAAAGAGACAGAAAAAATGTTTACCCTCTCACTGAACTTTCCTTTGGTCCTGTCACATTTTACTCACTGTTGCAAGTCCTGCTTGGAAATCATTGCTAGAAATAGGGTGACCTTAAAAATGGCTTTTGTGCAGTACAAAACAAATGATGACAGCATTTTTTTGAACACAGTTTAAACTGATCGCTTTGATAATTTAATAATCTGTAAATGTTTTTTAAAATGTTATCTATATATGCAATATTTTTTCTAGTGGCCACAAGTGTTAGCAATAATTGAGAAAAAGAAATTGAGGCTCCACATACTTAACACACTGAACTATTTCCATTTTTATTACCGCTATTTACAACCTCTCTTGTCCTCTCCTCTCTGCTGCGTAAACAGCCAGTTCAGTCCAGTTTAAATAACTGTTGGTCTCAGGTGACTCATTCCTGGCTTCCCAGTTGCGTTTAGAAGCGCAGCATTTAATGTTTTTTGATTTGCAGGATCTGGTTAGTGCAAATCGTTTATTAATTTTATACATTTAAATCAAATAAAGAGGTTTTAATGTAACATCACATTTAAACCTTAGTGTGAAACATCTAGTTTTTCTATCAGTGGATTTACCTCTCTGCAGAACACACCCTTACCAAACTGAGGCTGAACCATCTCATCCTCGCGTCGGACTCCTTGCCTCTGTCACCTTCAGCTGGGTGCTTAACGACCTCTACACATCACACCAAATTAGCACTAACTGTACAGGGCGATGTGCAGATTCTGACTCACAGCAGAGAGGAAGGCCATCAAACTGGAGGAGCTGAGGCCTCGACCCTCACCCTGAAGAACGGGGGCCTGAATTTATGATGTTTCCTCTGACCTGAGGCTTCAAGTCGGGTTGGAGGTGGGGGGGCATTCCAACCAAAGGACAGCAGACCCTCCTTGCAGCCGCCTAGCTTTACTAGCAAGCGTTATGGGGGAACTGATAAACACTGTAATGATGCTGGACATGCAGCCCAAAGGGCAGGAGTGAAGCTTTTCATTACTGCATGCTCTCTCAGGGTTTTGAGTATCATGTAGTGCCTCCATGGCTCTGTCAGATCATGAATCTTACCTTTAGTGTCCTCCAGGAGATTCTGTCTAAACCGAGCGGTATCTTTGAGATGGAGATTTCTCAGGCCTGCCGTGTGCTCTCTCTTAATTGTTTACTAGGTAATCGTGTCTCTCATTACTCACAGCTGATCGTGCTTATGTACAATTAACTTTATTTTAAATACTGTTGCACACTCATAAAAGCCAAGTGTTTTTTAAAGGCTGCCTCATTATCTCATCAACCCACTGTCATTCTGTACTCCTACTGGCTTACGGGGCTTTCACTGACCGCAAGTGTGTGTGTGTGTGTGTGTGTGTGTGTGTGTGTGTGTGTGTGTGTGTGTGTGTGTGTGTGTGTGTGTGTGTGTGTGTGTGTGTGTGTGTGTGTGTGTGTGTGTGTGTGTGTGTGTGGTGTGTGTGTGTGTGTGTGTGTGTGTGTGTGTGTGTGTGTGTGTGTGTGTGTGTGTGTGTGTGTGTGTGTGTGTGTGTGTGTGTGTGTGTGTGTGTGTGTGTGTGTGTGTGTGTGTGTGTGTGTGTGTGTGTTGCCCTTACTTACAGCTTCACAAGGACACAGTGATGAGAGGGTCCAGCATGTGTAATGTTTTCCAAGTTACACACAATGTCAGGGCTTTTTGCGAAGCTTTCAGAGTGTGCGCAGAGTTTTAAAGGTTCTGTAAATGTAAAGTCAAGGACTTTCTTTTTCCCCATAGGTTAAAGGAAGCTCAGGAAAACATCAAGAAGATCACAGCGGAGAAGAGAGTGGAAACCAAGAAGATCAATGCCAACAGTCTGGTGAGAACTGATCTACATACAGCACAGAGATGGAATTTCCTGAAAGCTGCTCTTACTTGTGTCCACGATGAAGTGCATACTGAATATTGTTTGTGGTTCTTGCCAACAGAAAGAGAGGCTGCGGCAGAAGGAGGCTGGCGTGTCTTCCAGCTGAGTGAAATCGCAGCAGAAGAAGAAACAAGGAGTGGTAGGAGAAGATCGTAGATCAGAAGGCCTCATTGTGTGTGTTTTCCACCTGCCTCAACAACAGCGGTCTGCTCTTCACTCTCTCTACAGACTCACAAAAAAAACCTCGCCGGACAACTACTGCGGTTCTCTGTTTACTAACACCCACACATCCCCACCCTACCCTCCGATGCATGGCTGCGCACAGTCCAAGTGATGAGAGTCTTAAAGGCCAAAGATCGATCTCATTCATCCGGCAGGGCGCGACCTCCGAGTGCCCAGCTTGTGAAAGGTCTCAAGGGGTCAGTGGGATTCACAGCTGACGCATCCAAGAGGTTCCTTCTTGATCTACAAGAGCTGAGAAATCATTTGTTTCTGACGTAAGAGAGCAGAGTGATAACGCTGCTAGATTCTTCAAAGACGGTGCACATACGGCTGCCTGAAAAGGAAAATCCCCATTGACAAACTAAAAATCTGTGTCTGGAAGCGGTTGTTCCTAGCTTTTCATTCCCCACGGCTCATTAAAAGTCTTAGTAAATATGTCATGTTGTAGAATCTGCAGGGCCCGTGCAGCAGCAGGAGGATGATGAATGATCCGCGCCATGGCTTCATGAGCAGATTAAGACATGTTGTGTATAAATGTGTGTGCACACAAATTGTGGAGGTTTCACTGTTTCGTGTAGCACTGCACCAGACTGACCTCTCCTGGGTGGGGCCAGAGAAGGGGCCCTCAAACACACACAGAGGTACTTCAAAACATCAGAAGAAAACAGCACATTTTGCCGTTCACCCAGTCATCACAGATATTAAATATAAATTGTTAGTCCTTCATTGAGTGTCACCTTTAAGCACTTTACTGCTTGCTGTAGCTGTATGTTGTAGCTCGCTATTAGCTACACTCCCCTGGTTATGCTAACTGCGTGCATTTTTCAGATGTCCTCTTTTCCTATGCAAGGGTACCCTTTCCTTGTTAGAAGTTTTATGAATTTTACGGCTTTATGATTTAAACGTGTTCGATTACATTTTTTATGAGAAAGTCTAGGCAAGTGTGTGTTTTGTTATCTGAAATGTAAGATGTAACCACACTCCTGTGTCATTCAAGAAAAGTCTATTTATGTAAGGAAAGATTTATTTTCTGCCAAAAGGCATCAGCGTTGGTCCCTTCGAGGCTGTATTTTTATGAGTTGTAATTGGCTGAGAAGCTGCGTGGTTAAATCAGAAGAAAGATATATTTTCACATGGATGTTGTGCCCGAGATGTTGAATGTCGGTGGAGATTTGCCTTTTCTCTTTAGTTTTGGAGAGATGAGGATTGTATTTTTGGGTATTGAGAACATTTTAGTACATCACCTAAAGCCATGCGAGTTGCTATATCTCAGACAGACTTCTATTATCAGAGAATCCATCAAATTGCACCTTGAATTACTATTTTTACCCTCCTAAGTCTTTCACCTGTGCCATTTATTTTGTAAAAAGATAGATATTTCATGAAATGCTATGTTTAAATACTGACAAAGGAACTGCTGTAGCCTCTACTGTATGTATGTATGTATGTATGTAGCTCTCTTGTAGGTGCTCTGTAATTTTATGGAATTGTTTTAAATTTCGAGATTAAAGTACTGGATGCCGAACAAACTGGACCAACTTCTCTAAATGTTCTTCTGTCGACACTTCATTAGGCCCGCAGTGCACCAAGCAGATGTGAAATTAATGTGAGAAACCTGCGTCATCAAAGAGAATCTGATGATTCATAATTCAGCCAGGCTGTGAGTCAAAATAAAGTTATTCAATCAGGCCTCAGATTTAGACTGCGAAACATGTTCCGGTAAGACTCCTAAAATAAAGTGATAAATTGTGTTTACTCGAGGTTAATTCGTTTTCAGTGATTTACAGTCATTTCAAAAACGACATTTGTAATGTAAGAATTGCATTATATTCATCCAACAAGGATCAATAAATCACCAAGAGATTCTAATAAACAAACTGTTGATTATTGACTGTTTTAGCTCTGACTAGATTAACACCTGTGGCACATCCAGCTCATGCCAATGTTTTATTTAAACACCAAAAACCTCCTAAAGATTAAGGGTTTGGACCATGTATAATAATGGTTGTATTCAAAATGGATGCCTGAAGAATAATGGATTATCTAAATACCAAAACCTTTTCCTAAATGTGTTACTTATTTAATGAAGGGAAATTCCTCATCCTTCATACATTCCTCGTTTCAGTCCTGCAACAGATTTGCGAGCCATATAACAAAATACAGTGAAGTAAAATAACATAATTCCAAGTAATAATTGGAAAACGTAACTCCATTTCTTTCCTTAAAGGGACTGCTTTTACAATTAAATGTTTTTTAAGTCTGAGATGCTGGCTCCATGCTAGAGGAGAGCAGCAGATGAGGCCATCATTTAACATTTGAACACCTTCCTAATCTATATCAGGTGTAAAGTCACAGATGTACACAATATTAGAACATCCGTTTATTTTATATTTTCATGGATAATTTAATCAAAGGGATAAACAAACCGGTTACATCAAGGATGCCTTTACATTGACAACTATTTAATCTCGATACTGGATAACCCATCACTGAACAGCGTCTGGCTAATAAGCCTATCATCTCTAAAAGAGTAGGCATCCAACTTTAAAAAAAAAAAAAAAAAACTTTACCAATGGACTTGGAAATTCACAGAAATCAATTTACCTTCGGACATTCTTGTAACATCGAAATAAAAATCACATTTTCCATTTACAAATATCCTCGCTCATACATCAAATTCCACACAGTGGAAACGTCCAGTTCAGCAAACACATTATGCACATTAAAATACTAAATTGTACATTTCCTGTCACAGCAAGCGTTTCTATATTAAATAACCCGGGGTTATGCAGTCCTCTCGGGAGGAGGAAGCCGTGCGTAAAACGTGCCCATTCCAATTCAGCGTTCCTGTGCAGTGATGCTTGTTTTCAAACTGGTGAGGAGTAAAATGCTCGATGGTCTATAAGTTGCATGTCCATATTTGTTCACACGTTATGCAAGAAGAGACTGTAGCCTACATGTACGAAGCGTTCGTGAATGCATCCTCCAAGTGGAGACAGGCATGTGTTCTTGGCTATGTGACAACCTTTTTTTTCTACCAACAATCCTGTCCGCGAGGGATATGAAACACACACACACACCCAAGCCTTGTCTTTAGTCCAGGTCTATGGATATACAGCGGCACTGTTTGACGCGCTGGATGCGTTTCTTCTTGGTGGGTGGCTGCTGGTCGGGACAATTCAAAGTAAAAGTCATGGTGGTAAAACGCTTCGGCTTGCAAAACGAGCAGGACTGGAAGGCACCCTCCTCCCTGCGGATGTGCCTGGGGATGTAGAAGGAGTTGCACTGCCCGTAGCAGAAGCGGTTGATGATGGTGCGGCTGACGCAGCCCTCCTCGTGGATGGTCTGCTTCAGGGGCTGCGTCTTGCACCAGTCCCGTTTCAAATACTGGCGCTCCGTCACGTGTAACGCTTCCTGGCTGGACTCCAGCACCTCGTCGGCCGGGGAGGATGAGCCCTGCCTCTGCCGGGAGCCGGAGCCCGCCTGCGGAGTCTGCGGTTGCTGCTCCGATTCGTTTGGGTTGCTTTTGTCAGGATGAGGAATGGCGCCTTGTGAACCTCGGTTTCTTTTGGATTCCACGGGCGAGGAGAGCAACCCCATGATGAAAACCATACTGCAGAAGATACGCGTTGAGTTGGCCATCCTTGGGGAGAAGAGGAAAATAATTAATCACCTATGCCGTTTCAACTTTGGATGCGTTACGCACAGCTGTCAAAACTTTTACGCTGCGTAAAAACGCGCAGGCTTTTTACCTCAACAAAAAAAAACTAAACTACAAGAATATCTAAGTATTTGACTAACAAATATAATGTTTACCTTGGCCCGATACTTTATTAGGCTATTATGCAAAGTAATGCCACCAGATCTAGCCAAAGCAAACACTTTAAGACGTTTAATAAAAAGCTGAACATATCCACACATGCATACCAGTGGAGAACAAGCATGGCGTTTTGTAATTTCTAAAAGCAAGGAACAAAACAAAGTTTAAAGATGAATGAAGACCGTTCTTGAGTGTTGTAGTAATAAACAGTCCGAATGTAACTCACCTGCGCGAGTCTCCACTGCTACAAGTGCGATGGTGTGATCCTGTCAGTCCTCTCGCGGCACCCTGCGATGTGATAGGCACCTACTGCTGTCGGCCGTACACTGGTGGGGCTGTGGATGGGTGGGAGACTGAGCGCTCCATAGACAGGGGCCAGGGGGTTTAATACAAATTGCTCCAGCGCCGGACTGTCTCCCTTTTAAATGTCTGCCAGCTGAGATGTGCACAACAGTTCCCTCTACATTATTGGCTAAGCACAATGTAGAGAAAATCAAAACTATCCGCCCCCTCAACACTTCCCTGAACCCACTTCAAGAAAACAGACAACCGAGGAACAGCGAGGGCAGGCAGGGAGGGGAGGGGGGGAGACAAGCCGAGAGCAGACAGGCCGGAACGTTTATGCGCACATGGAGAAAAAAAGTAGAACTGGTGATTTTTTTTTATTTGATCAGAAGGAACATGATGATAATACCATAATATGTCACACTTTAAACCCAAATGTAGGCGTTCACGGTCCTCTCGTAAATTACGAATGCAATCTAGGTATAGAATCAATAAGAAATGTCGACTGTCTGACTCATATTACAGAACACCTGTACATTCTCGATATATCATTATTTTAATGTTACTGAATACCAGGAATATAATTGAGCCAAAGAGTAGGCTTTTTCACTAAGGTTGTGAATTTTAGAGACGCTATTATAGTCCAGTAGATAGACAGGTCCTTTAAGTTGATTTAGTTTATTTTAGTTCCAAAACGACGTTTTATTTTACATGACCAAAAAAGGCAACCAAGCAACACGTTATCATAAATCACGTTTTAGGGTTTTAAAATCAAAGTTTTACAAAGTTATCAAAAGTTTTAGCCTTATACTTTTTTTTTTTTAACACTAGAACCGCCAATCGGGTCAATTTGACCCAGAGCTGTTTTTTATTGTGTGTAACTTTTTTTCAATAAAATATTAAAGTCTTCCAGTCCGTGACTTTTCCTGAAAGTGTGTTATGTAGCACGCTATGTTGTTAAAAATTGTCAATATGAAGTCAGATTGAAGAAATCGCCCAAAAAATTGCCATTTATACCTATTTCCGCCCAGCGGGTGACCCCACCCCTTTTCATATAAACATGACGTGTTGCTATAGCAACGCCTTTTGTCTACTGCGGTTCCTTATAGACTGAGAGATAGATTGAGAGAGAGAGAGATAGATGGATAGATATATTGATAGATAGTTGTAGATAGAGAGAGAGAGATAGAGACAGTCTGTAGTGAAGGAGTGCGCTCCCGCTCACGGGAGACTGCTCGCGCTGCGCTCCGCAGCAAACAGCTGTGGGGCGAGTTGAAAGTACGTTATGCTGGCCGCGGTGTCTAAATAATGCTTCCGGGCCAGCGGGCCATTTATAATGTCGAGCCCTGAGAGTCCACAGATTATATTGGTATACGTTTCATCCCTGTGCGATCAAAACTCACTGTTCAATAAAAGAACATTTTACCTTGAAAATCAATGCATTCTAATAGCGGGTCAATTTGACCCAGGTGGCGGTTTTAGGTATAAAAAATCTCTGGCGGTTCTATTAAAGGAATTGTCTTAACTTTATACATTGTTACTAATTACTAATGCATTTTGGTTGGATATTAAAAGGTTTTTCTAATGCTTTACGAATAGCCATTATTAGGAGAAACTTTGATGTTGCCATGTGAAATATGATACAATAAATAAAGCTTTAAAAAAAGGCATATCACTGCTATATATACATATAATACATTAAGTGTAACTATTAAGTCACAATTAGCCCTTTTATTGTTGAAAATAAACTCCAGCACCCACACTGTCGTTGGTTTTAAACCTAGAATATGTATGCCAGTCATCAAACGTGTATTTATCTGTATACCATAACTATCTAACGAATAGTTTGTTCCAGCATTATTTATTCCATATTTCATGTTGTTACAGAAAGGTGAACATTAATCTGCAGAACACATGGCCTCGGCCCAACTGCGTGATCTGTAATACCAATATGCATCATGACGCACCGCCCGAAGGTGCAGAACAGACCAATAGAAAGGGAAACTGCTCTGCCATCACTGCAGAGATAAAAGTAATATGCTGCTGCAGAAAGTAACGTTTTTTCCAAGTTCAGTCTGCAACTGAAAATCACCCGAGCCCCCCCCCCATCGGGCTGTGGAGAATAAATCGGAAGCAATTTTGACCTCGACACTTCACTGTCTACTCTGCAGATTCTTTACAGGAGAAAAAATATGTAGGCCTTTCACCTCTTACATGTCAACACAAGTCATTGAACTAGATCCATGCAGTCAGAAACCTGAATTTACACTGAGGAAATATATTACCTATATTACCTTAATGCATCTGTGACGCAATTAATCTTCTGATATGTACCAGAACCAAATTTGTTTGAATATGCTGTTATATCAGGATATAGTCGAGATTTTGAAAGAGTAAATTCCTAAGCCTTTTCCAATAACATGTTTCAC